TTACTGCGTTTTTAATTAGTTATTAATTACGTTGTGATTTTTAATTTCGGGGATGTATAATTTTACATTTTTGTTAATATCTCTATAGAATAGTTGACTCCAACAATTAGGTAGGTCGTTTTTATTCTATTTTGTCCTATGCTTGTTTTTTTCAGCCTTGATATAGCCCACAATACGAGGGCAAAACGTCTGCTTAATTTTTACACCAATAAAGCTTTCATCTCTACAAGCTTTGAATTAATTATTTATTCATAATAACCTAATGTTAACTAATAGATTATATGTACGTAGGATGTTTTGCTAAATACGTAATCTGACAGATGAAGTAATTTCGGTAGTCACTCTTAACCCCGAAATGGTTACTTCCAATTTAAATAAAGAATTACAAACGATACCAACAGTTGACGATCCAGTGAAAAAGACATTAAACATGGTGTAAAGTTCTCATTTTAACATTGCTTCTGGTTTCTAAGCTGTTGTAACGCCTCTAGGAAGGATTATCATTAATTACTCAAGACAGTGTACAGGAAAAAGTTTTATTTACTGATGAGAATACTTATTTTCGTCCACAATACCTTACTCCACTAGATGAAGTACTTTCCGTAGTTATTCTTAACCCAGTAATGGTGACTTATTGTTCAGGATAGTGAACAAGTAGATTCTGTTTATACATTTTGAGAGACTTGTCTTAGTCTGGTTACTCTTTAGGAACCCTTTTCCTCCATTACCTATGGTCCGGCTCCCGAAATCATCGAAACTCGCAAGCTGATCCACCTAGTGTAGTCTGTGCAAGAGTAGCGTCAATGTTCAAGTCCCGTCGGAGCGAAAATGTGCTGCTATCATAATAAAAATCGGTCATACGCTGAATACTTCTATAAAATTGAAGGGATGTTGGATATTTTGATAGATTATTTTGATGGATTTTGTACGCCTAAAAGATTCTTTTAATATTAAAACTGTAATGTTCGTGGGTTTAACAAAATTTACTTCTAAGACTGATAACGACAAAAACTATTTATTTACACTAATTATTAAAGAACCTACAAACACTATTAAATTATTACTAAACTTAGGTTATGAATTATTTTATTTATTTACAGTATTGTTGATATATCACTATTCACTGAGCTATTTATTTCACTGCTATCACTGTTAATTTATTTTTGGTTTTACTTCTGCAACGGTCAATTTATTTCTCCTTTTTCAGCGATCGTCTCTTCCTTTAAATACTCTTTTGTTTCCTTTCTGGAACCCTATAGAAACATCCGAATCGTATTGTTTTTCTTTGAACTGCATAACTGGTTTCCCAGAACGCAGGTACAACACATACATTTGCTAGTCGGAGAATCGATAAGTCGTTCACGCACACAAACACACTCGCTACAATACTAAAGTCCCGTTTATGAACAAAAATCATTAACAACTAATGTACGAGAACCATATGGTTCCTACCTCATCATCATAAGGTCGTTAGTCTTAAGATTGGTTGGACATGCACCTCCACTCCTTCTTATCCTGAGCTGATTTAAGCATTTCCCTAAAACTAGAGCAACCCATATCCTTAACTATTTGCGAACAGTAATCTAATCTAAGTCTACCTCTATACCTCCTAACCTCCGTTTCTGCCGCTAATATGTCTCTGACTAGACTTTTATGCCTGAGCAGGTGTCCAATTAACCTATCTCGCCTATTTCTTATTGACTTCCATAGAGTCCTCTGTTCTCTTACTCTTTCTAATACCTCTTCATTTCTAACCTTCTCTATCCGCATAGCATAGAAGTGACTTCTTTTTATTGAAGGTGATTCGATCCTGCGCTATTCTCTGCTTTTTCTCCTGATTTTTATATTCGGTCTTTCCCTACTTTTCCTTCCCTTGCACACTGTTTTTATTTTACCTTTATTTATTTTCATACAGTTCTGTTTTGTCAATACCGCTTCCATTTTGTTCACAGCTATCTCCAACTCCTCCTTGCTAGATGCCAATACTGCTACATCATTTGTAAATCTAAGCGTACTAATCTTTTGCCCATGTGTATGTATCCCTACAGTTGTTCTGTCTTTAATGATTTTGGTCGCGCCTTCGGTGTATAGATTAAAAAGGAGCTGTGACAATGTGCATCGCTGTCTGATTTTTTTCCTAATATTTCCTTCTCTACTTTGCAGCCCAATCTCTATAACTGCCTGTTCCTTTTTATACAAATTAAGGATCACTCTTCTATATTTGTAACTCATCTCTACATTTTTAAGTACATTTAACATCTTGTCCCATTCAACATTGTCAAATCCTTTTTTTAAGTTTACAAATACTATGTACGCCCTCTTTCCTTTTTCTATCGTTTCCTCTATTGTTACTCGTAGTTATAATGGTCTCCCGCGCTCCTCTATTTCTTCTAAATCCAAATTGATCTTCCCTTAATAGTTCTTCCGCCCTTTTTTTCATCCTACTCTGTACAATTCTAGCTAAGATTTTTGACGTATGGGAAGTTAAGCTAATTTTTCTAAATGTCTCGGACCTATCCGCGCCTCTCTTTTTAGGTATGGTTACTTCCACGTTCCGTTTATAATCCTCTGGAACTTTCCCTCTCTCGTAAATGTGAGTAACTAGCTTAAACATACGATCTCTAATCTGTTGTCCTGTCTGTATTAGAATTTTCCTGTATATCTCATCTATACCTGGCGCCTTATAATTCCTTAAACAACACTTCCCAACGAATTCGCAAGCATTTGGAATGTATCTATAGAACAAACAAAATGTGACTAACATTTCTAAAAGTGTCCACTTCTTCATATCAACTTGACCAACACACTACGGCAGTAACTACACTTTTAGAAGAATTTTAAAAATAAAGTAACTTTCATTTTAAAGGTGATATAACAGAAACTTTCAATGCTTTAAACGTAATCTGATCAGCAGATATGAATCTCGAAGAAACTGCAATGATCACACAGTAACATCAATAACAAGTGGATAAGTGTGTTTCTAAGACTTTCAATCAGAAAATACCTAATGCTGAAGGATCTTAAAACTTTGGAATCATTTTTGGGTTTTCAAAGAAAATTTATTTAAAATTTTGCCAAAATTGTTTCTCCGATGACTAAATTTTTAAGTAAGGATAATAAAATTACTGTAAATGACCCTCTCTATATTGAAAAAAAAGGGAACTTTGTAAGGAAATTGGATGTAATGCTCCAGTCTTGTCTTATCTGGATTTTATAAAAATATTTACGTTAAGAACGGATGCGAGCAATGCCACAATAGGTTCCGTTTAATTCGAAAATTCAAAACCTATCGCATTCTATTCATGAAAACTCAACACAGCAGAAAAAAATATTCCACGATAGAATAAGGGTTGTTAGTGTTCGTTGACTTGTGCAAACATTTTGATCTTACATATTCGGAAAAATATTTGAAACTGACTTGAAATGACTTACGACAGCAAGAGAATTAACTCGAAGTTTGCCAGGTGGAGAAAGATCAAATATCGTAAAGGAAAAGCGAACAAACTCGCAGATGCTTTAAACCTCATAGAAATAAAAATAAACGAAGCTTTGGATGCAGAAGACTGAAATGTTATCAGTTTTACCACAGGTAAATCCAAAAGAAGAACTCGAAGATATAGATGACATAATTACATCTTATAGGGAAGAAACAGAACAAACATCGTATGATACGGGATATTCTGTCGAAATAAGCTGCAGTATTACATTTCCTATCACCGAAAAGACAACTAAAAGCTATAAAAATCAAACCTTAATGTATTTAGCCACTATGTCTATGGATTCCTCACTATATGTTTTTCCTGTCATGCCAAGCAACCGTTAACCAGTTTATATCAGGTGAAGGGGTATTATAGGATTTGGTTGAGAAGGGGTATTCAGAACTATGTCCGACTTCATAGGGCTCACATATATAAGTTTAATGTATTTCTTTATTGTTTGAATGTTCAATAAGGTTTTAAAAGAATACACATCATTACAATTTATTCTCCACCTTCAGAGCCGCGAAATAATTGCCATTAAATTAAGAAAACATAATTTTCGATACCTTCCAGATAACTCTGACTGTCCTTATTCATGGAAAAATTATGTCACGGAAGGTGATTTGCAAGAAACGATTTGTGTGACTATGGATTAATGAAAAGTAGTGTTAACGCTTGAACTAATCGATTTAAAGTTGTAGGTGTCAATTTGAACTTTTATGGCTTGCCTGTTTGAGTTAAAATTAAACATTTGGTGAAGTATCAATTTTGTAGTTATCCTGACAAATTTGGAATAATTTTTTAAAATCTATTATGTATTCCCCAAATATTATTCCTTTTTTAAGTTGTAGCCTACTACAGTTACTATTATTTCTTCTCCTTAATAACACTGTACATACTGCAGTTTATTACACTACATCTAAACAAAAATAGATAAAAAAATACAACGTACAGTTACATTCGTGCTTATTTATTTGTAACACCAAGAAATTCTCCAAGAGAGAAATTTTTAACATTGTCAATAAAATGTGGCAGGTTAAGATGTCAATAAATATCCTTCTTAAATAATCGTTATTCCAAAATGATGAAATTAATAAATACCGACAAAACAGTGTACAAACAATATAATAAACTTAAATTAATTAAACTAACGACATGGGTGCAACAAACACATTCACGTATCGCAACCACGTATACGAGTCCAGATCACTAAAGCTATACTATCTATAACGTATCAAGTGCGAAAGAAGTCTAACCTTCCTTATCTCATAGTGTAGTTATAAATTTATTAATGTCTGCTACTAACGTTACCTTATTTTGTTAAAAATAATTGTGAGTTATGTATTTATTAAAAATGTAATTCTTTTGAGGTACATTACAATGTTTCCATGAACTTGAACGATTCAATGGGTAACAGGTGTGATTCTCAGAAAACATAAAAACGACACCTTTAATACTGATTAGAAATACAAAGTAAATTTTAGCTTAATAATTAATCTCTTGCGCAACGATTGCGATAATAAAAAATGCGATTAAGCTACGATAGAACACCTGCAATCGTAAAGTTATCACCTATTTAACAAAATACTTGAATGATTCAAGTTAATCGACCTCAATCATCTTTCAGACATCATTCACGTAGTTGTTTAGGGTAATATTTCAACAATATTTCGCAAAATGAACGTGTTTCTTGTGCAGTTAGTGTCAATGTTTCTTTTTTTGAATATTGAAATATGCTATGGTGGATGTAGAATGTACGGGCAGTGTAACATCAATTCAAATGGATTAATTCAAAACTGTTATAACGAAGTTATTGCTCCACCCCACCGTCTAAGCGAAAATAATTCTGATAATCGTGATCGTGCATTACTTCTTCTGAAACAGTACTGTCCCGATTTTTTTATTGAAGAAGGTAGGTGTTTAAATTAACTTTTAACTTTTAATTTTGGACTTGATTAGAGGATCATTTGAACGAAAAATTATCGATCGTTGATTATTGCAATCATTTGAGATACTTGAATTACCTCTCTATAGGGATACTCGTCGCTCAACTCACTGCCGTTTCTCCCATTATATCGCGCACTTACGTATGTTACCACTGGATTACATGTGCTCATGTTGAATTGTTTAAGCATTCCCTAGTTTATTTCAATTTAATAAACCCATCACACTGGTTTATTTTTAATCCTAAACAGTATTTTGTTTCACCAAGGTCTTTGAATTAGAAATTGCTTAAAAATTCATTTGATTTTTGTAGCATTTTTCATAATTCTTGATGCGAATAATACATATGTCGTCTACATGTAGGGTGTCTTAAGGTCACGGCCCAATAGAATATATCAGAAACTGCTTCGAATTAAGTCTTAAAATTTTGGTATCTAAGGTTTTCGGGGGTACACTCTTTAAATAAAATAATGCCATTCTTGTAGCAGTTCCGGTTATACAGGAAGTTGCGATCAACTTTCTTACGTTAAACGGAAGACCTTGTACATTTTTGTATTTTCGTTATTTACGTGACTTTTATAAAGCTTCGCCAAGTCTAGCTCTACTAGTGTTCAAGATACTTCATTTTTGTCAGAAAAAAGTGGCTTTTCATTGACTAGCTCAAAGTTGCATATTTCTTATATTATGCAAGTTGAAAAATTGATATTTGGAAGGAATACAGGAGGATCCCCTTCATTCGTTTCAAAAAGTTAAGCATTGTCAATAGGAAGTGGGCAAATTTTAGCAAATGATCGTTTAACAGCCTCAGTCACGATCTTTATGACTGCGACACGAACAGCTTTATCCGCATCTAGATACTCTTTAATAATTCTGCCTAAACGCCAAATTAATGGGGGTGTATTGTCCACCTTTATGAGTACTAAGGTACCGATTTTAACACTTTCCTGTAAGCCCTTGACTCGATACTGTAGTTCATTGATGTATTTTTTATGAAACCAAAAATTTTGCTTCAATTGTTGGATATGCTGATAATTTGATAACGTTTCTTCAGGAAAATGAGTCTAATAACTTTTCCTAACCAAAAAGTAAGGCGGCGCCAACGGTAAAAAATCATTCGGGTCGGATGAAAGAGGCGTAAGTGGACAGGAGTTTAAAAATGATTCAATTTGAATTAGCAAATTATTTAATCCCTCAAATGTGAAATTAGCATTTCCGGCAACTCTCTTTAAATGATGCTTGGCAGACTTAATGCCTGCCTCCCAAAGCCCGCCAAAATGTGGGGATTGCGCTGGTGTAGAACGTCATTGTACTTTTTCTAGTGAATATAAGTCAACAAATTTATCACTATGTTTGTTAATAAAGGTACCTGAAATTTAGTCCATTATCCGAGTAATCATGACTGGGTTTCCCGCGATGAGTAGAAAAACGTCTAAAAGCTGAAATAAATGCTTCGCTAGTCAAATCGGAAACTACCTTTATATGCAAAGTTTTCGTCGCAAAACAAACCAATGTGCTAACATAACACTTGGATAAGCTAGCGCCCTTTATTATCCTTTATTAAAAATTAATCTATACCAACGATATAAGAAACATTAACTGAGATCGGTCTGGTTTGAGGGACGTTCTTTAGCCTTAAGTTTAAATCAAAAGAAATGTAAGCAGCTTGTAATTGTAGCTTTCAATGGATTTCTAGCAGCAATAAGTCAAAATGGAAGACAAAACAATTGGGGTCCGGCATGCATAAGGTGTTTATGTTCACTTTTACAAACTAATTCAGCTAAAGGAACCGTATAACTTGCAATTTATAACATTTAGACAATAACGTGACACTGAATTTTTAATTAATTTATGCTGAGTAACTTTACGAAATTTCGGCCACACATTGCATAAGTCAGTTGGTAACGTTTCATCCCAAGCAAGCTTTTCAAGCCAAAGTATTTGTAATAAAATTTTTGCAACAATTACACATGAGGAAAGCAATCCCAGGGGTTCAAAAAGGTGGGTGAGTGTGTGAAAGGACACTTCGCTTAGTGATTCTTTCTGTATCATTCGATAAATCAATTTCGTAAGACTGTCTGTTAAACATGACCAAACTAAAAATAATGTTTTGACATTTTCATTATACCTGATTTTTGTATCTTCAAGCAAGCAATGTCGATAGTCCATTCGCTCACGCCGGAAAACCGATCAATGAACATGTAGTTCCGGGTGGCCATGCAAAAACCTACCCTCAAACGCTACTAAACGATAGAGATAGCGAAAAATAATTTTATAACTGAACAAAGGCAGAATTTTTTAAAAATAAAATAAAACAAAACTGAAATTCCATTTTGCCTGCAATAACTAGCACGGAATTAAGGAGAAACAAACGCGAACGGTTAATTTAGAAATTCGAAAATGGATGTTTAAAGTATATATATGTTTGGAGTACGGCGCTATATGGGTGCGATGCATGAACAATCGGTGCGGCGGAAAAGAAAAGATAAGAAGCGTTCGTAATGTGGTGTTATAGGAAAATGACGAGGACACGGTGGATCTGGAAGGTTAGGAATGAAGAGGTATTAGAAAGAATAGGAGAACAGAGGACTCTATGGAAGTTAATAAGAAATAGGCGAGATAGGTTAGTAGGACACCTTCTCAGACATGAAGGTCTAGTCAGAGACGTATTAGCGGCGGAAAATGAAGGTAGGAGGAGTAGAGGTAGACCTAGATTAAATTACTGTTCACAAATAGTTAAGGATATGNAACTAAACCATCTTTATCCGTAAATAATATAAAATATTTATTGGTTCTATTCCAAAATCTGTTAAACTTTCTTGGCACATTTTTAATACACTTTTCTCTGTGACCATAATTTCCGTACAGCCTAGACTGACTTCATGTAATTTATCTGAAGTTTACAATTGTTTATAAATCGTATTATACACGCAACTATACGTAAAACTTTAGAATAATTCGAAAACTTTTCCAAAATTTTTAGTAATTTAAGCTCAGCTAGTATTGCAACTAAACAACTACTGTTGCCATACTCCGCACTTATTTTCAATTCGGAGTGTACTTCCTCTCCATTGTACAGTAGATCGATATTACTATTCGGCCAATCTTCAGAATCTCTGTACAACTATTCCGGCCCGTCCACCAATGCGATGATAATAAACGCTCTACAGTACACCCTTTCGAAGGAAGGCCGGCAGGATTCGAATTACCCGGAACGTGCCGCCAAGATTTAGGATCTGAGATTTCGCGGATTTCTTTTACACGATTATGTACAAATGTACTCCAATGGTGTTCACGATGAATCCACGCTATTACCGTCGATGAATCTGACCAAAAATGAAGATTTACAAATTTTATATTCAACATTCTTGTAGTAGCGTCAGCCAATCTCGCTCCAATGTTTGCCGCCAATAATTCTAAACTTAGTATACTATTGCGTACATTTTCTTTACTTTTCATAGGAAAAACTCGCGATTTAGCTTGTACGAATCTAACTTCACTATCTTTTATGCGACTAAAAATAACGGCCGCGTATGCCGATTTACTTGCATCGCAAAATGTATGCAAACTAATTTCACCGTGCGAACCTGTTCCTCTGATGAGACAACTCGGTATCTATACTTTATTTAATTCTGTAATTGTCTCGTACCATTTTATAAAATGTGTTTTAATTTCAGTACCGACGTTGTCATCCCACGTGAGATTTCTTGCCCTCACTTCTTGCAATAATATTCGCGGACCAAGTGTTACGGGGCAAACAAATCCCAACGGATTAAAAATATGATGTACGCAAGACAAAATAACTCTTTTAATTATATTCTCCAAATGTAAATTTTCTAAATTCTCAACATTTAAGGATAATACATCTCGTCTTTTATGCTACATAATGCTTAAAACCGGAGTGATACTCTCCGTCGAAACATCACCGTTATATTCCCAACCGCGACGATTAAAACCTGCAAGCTCCATCGATTTCCTCGCCTGATACATAAATTCATTTAATTGAGTAGTCGAGTTTACACTGGTTACACAATTATCAACATAGAAATCATTTAACAATTTTTCAATATTACTACGAGTAAAAATCGATTTACAGTCATTCTGTAATGACTCAAGAATACCCTTCAAATGTAATTCAATTACTGCGCCTTACATAAATGTGCTGGAACATATATCAAATACAACCCTACAATGACGTAGTACAATTAAATTATTCTGATCATCATACCAAAAAAATTCGATCTTTCGAATCAACACTTATCTGTAAGAAAGCTCTTTTAATATCTACTATTACACCTATATTACCTTCCCGGAATCTCAATAAAATAAAAGGCAGTTGCTCGATGCGATTGGAGGCTGTTTGGCAGAGGCGTCAAAAATGGGTCGACTTACAGTTGTACTACTACCTTAAAAACACGACGGTGTGGTAGATAGTGTCCCCAAATGTCCCCCTCCTTGTCCGATACACGTTCGATAATTCCTTCGTTTAACCATTCATATCTTCCTTCAATCCTAAGCTTCTTCGTAGTAGTCTGTAGACGTTTAATAGCAACACTCTTATTATCGGAGAGCGGGGGGTGGTTTTCCGACCATGGTAACTGTACTTCATATCGATTTTCACTGTTGATAGAAACGGTTTCCAAGAATTCTCTGTACATCACTTCTTCTTGTTGCTTAAAAGTCCTATGTATCATAGGATCTTTTATACCTAATACATTTAGAGACCATAAATCTTTCAGATCGCAATTTTTAACGAACAACGCGGCGACAGTAGTTTTCCTGCACAGTTTCTTTTCTGCGCCCACAATTGTCCAACCTAATAACGTTTCGACAGCTACTAAACCACTCTTCAGTTCTTTACGACAACCGGTCAATATTTTTCCTGCAACATCGGCACCGATAAGAATCGATATTGGATCGTCACAGCCCCACAACGTCCGTTAATTTAATATTAAACTCGTTTAATTCGTCAAGCCACTTTTCGTTCTCAATAAGTTCTATACGACCACAGATGATCTCTTGGTCCAGCGCGACGAAATTACATACAAAATCGTTCTCTAAACTTTGCATTCGTACGCGATATTCTTTGTGTGCGCCAACTTCCGGCTGCCCGCCACCGAAAAGCATATGACTTAGTTTTTGTTCACCCACCGATTGGTAACCCAATTTTTCGATTATTTCTTTCGTCACGTAAGATCTTTATGATCCATTATCAATCAACCTGCGCGCAATCAGTTCTCTGTTATCGCTGTAAATTTTTATTTTTAATGTTTGCAGGGACACCCTTTTGTTAGTAGAAATACTTGCGACGCAATTCAATTCTTTCCTTTACCCTTGATCTGAACACCGCTCGTTTTCAAATAAAAACAAGTTAAACATGCAAAAAAAGATACCTAAATTCTTACAAATTCAACAAGGGGGTATATTTTTTATTTTCATCTGTAACCAAATTTTAATTGTTTAGAATGTATCAGTTTAGTTATTAACGTTGTTGGCATCGATATTATTTTACATATATGTGTAAATTATCAGGAACGTGGACAATAATTATTGCTAAATTTTATTTGACCTTCATTCATAAGTCATAATGATTTTGTGTTTACTACTGAAATACTCAACAGTGTTATTTTCTGTCTGATCTTTAATATTATTAAAATTATATTAATTTTTCTGAATTAGGATGAGTGAGGCTTAAGCATATAGTATGATGATATTTTATATTGTCACGCATAATAAATCAGTGCGCCTGATGAAGGTCAAATAAAATGACCGAAACGTTGCGGAATTTTGTCCACGTTCCCGATAATTTAGTTATATATTAGTTTATCTACATTTATGTATGTATTTAATATACGCTATATGATCAATGTAACTTTTAAACATATACCTATTAATATTTAGAGTTGGTGGAGAATTTAATTAGAATTGAACATGATAATGATGCCTTGGAATCAGATGTCATGAACGTAAGTTGGATTACCTACATTAATACAAATAATTTCGAAATCATTTAACCTTTCTCAATCGTAAACCGTACCAATTGCGAAATCGTTTGTTAAAAATCAACCGTAATTGTTATTCCATTACGTCCTTATAATAAATCGAAATATCAAGTACACTTTTAACGTTCGAAATGACTTACAGGGGAAGTCCTTTAACGGCGGGGGTGGACAGCATCTACATACATCTAATACGTTATACAAAAAGTACTACAATTTTTATATCGGGTAAAAATGAACGAAACTAACCCACATCATTTAAAAGAATAGTTTGAGTTATAAAATATTAAAATACCATGATAACCTACAATGGTTCCGTTTCTTTCCCTTCATCATCATCATAAGGTCTTCAGTCCTAATGAATGGTTGGACACGTACCTCCACCCTTTCCTATCCTGAGCTAAACTTTGCATTTTCCTAAAACTAGAACAGCCCACATCCTTAACTATTTGCGAAGAGTAATCTAATCTGGGTCTACCTCTACCCCTCCTAACTCCTGTTTCTGCCTCTAATATGTCTCCGACTAGACCTTCATGCCTGAGAAGGTATCCTACCAACCTATCTCGCCTATTTTTTATTAACTTACATAGAGTCCTCTGCTCTCCTATTCTTTCTAATTCCTCTTCATTTCTAACCTTTTCTACCCACGATATCCTCATCATCATCATCCGCCTATAACACCACATTTCGAACGCTTCTAACCTTTTCTTTTCCGCCGCTCCCACTGTCCATTTTTCGCCCTCGTACAACGCCGTGCTCCAAACATATACCTTTAACAACCTTTTTCGAATTTCTAAATTAATTAGAAGTGACTTCTTTTTATTAAAGGCGACACGACCCTGCGCTATCCTCTGCTTTATATCCGTACTACTCCTTCCATCCTCCCTTATCTGACTTCCTAGGTATCCAAAATCAGCCACTTCTTCTAATTTTTCGTTTCCTACCTTTATATTCGCTCTTTCCCTACTTTTTCTTCCCTTGCACATCAGTATTTTAGTTTTACTTTTATTTGTTTTCATATAGTACTGATCTGTCAGTACCGCTTCCATTTTATTTAAAGCTATCTCTAGGTCCTCCTTGCCAGATGCTAATACTGCTATATCATCTGCAAATCTAAGCATACTAATCTTATGCCTGTTGATCCTTATACAAACTAAGTATCACTCTTCTATCTTTGTAATTCATACCTACATTTTTAAGTATNGTGTTATAGGAAAATGACGAGGACACGGTGGATCTGGAAGGTTAGGAATGAAGAGGTATTAGAAAGAATAGGAGAACAGAGGACTCTATGGAAGTTAATAAGAAATAGGCGAGATAGGTTAGTAGGACACCTTCTCAGACATGAAGGTCTAGTCAGAGACGTATTAGCGGCGGAAAATGAAGGTAGGAGGAGTAGAGGTAGACCTAGATTAAATTACTGTTCACAAATAGTTAAGGATATGGGTTGTTCTAGTTTTACGGAAATGCGAAGGTTAGCTCAGGATAGGAACGAGTGAAGGTGCGTGTCCAACCAGTCTTAGGACTGACGACCTTATGATGATAATGACAGTCGAATGAAAATATTATTTCTCATTAAATTAGTTAAATTTCAATAAAACATTGTTGCATACCAATTATGTACCACAATAAAGATAAAATTGTATTACATTATAATTCTTTTTTTTTTTTCGAAATTGGTTTAGAAAAATTAAATAATAAAAAACATGGAGACGCGTGCAAAATATGTCTAAAAGATACATCTTTCCAGTAAGCTGGGTTCCGCAATAAAAATCAGTCGTTATTAACGCATATGAAAATATTTACTTACATATTTACTTTTCATTATTTCCATATGTCCATTTGTGATTTGGAAGGTAGTTTTAATTTTGTGTGACATGTTAGCGAATAGTGTAGGAAAATGAAAATTTACTTGCATTTGAAAGACGAATAAGAGCTTAACTAATTATATAATAATATATATATGCCTGTTATTTATATAAAATTACATTTTAAACTAACTGTTATTGTTAAACATATGCACATACTTAAGCATTAATATTTGTTTATGTATATTGTTTCCCTAATTAAGTTGCTACAAATTGTCGCTCTAGTACATCTAGTTCTTTACTAATCATTTACCACTTATATTTGTTGTACCACATACCCTTTTTCTGCTTTCAACCGAACTTCGCAAATGTCTGTTCCTTCTACAGTTATTCACCTTATCATAACTGTCACTTGGTCTAAATTTGCACGATAAATGCAATGTTCCGCCTATTTTATCTAGCGTCTTGTAGAGATCATAAATTTCGATTGCTGCTTCAGTTACGGAATAACGACAATGGACGCTGACCAAAAGTAGGTATATTTCGATTCGTTCACATTTCGGTTCAACGCGTAAATTTCTGTTCGATTTCATAAAGTTACATAATCTCACTGATTATCGTATAAAACCTTTAATATAGAATAGTTTTGTAATTGCATCTTTTGGTTGCTTTTAATGCTGAGTAGTCATAAATACAACAATCATAAAATATAGTTATTAACTATGCAGAATAGTACAGTGCAATAGTGTTGAACGTTCTTATACGATAACTTTATTATAGTTCCTATTGCACCAATAAAGCATTGTTATGTGGTAGCAACAAGATACATTAGTTTTATAACTCGGTGCCGATTAGATCACTCATTAAGGTTGTAAGAATATTATATAGAAATTAATATCCAGTTTAACTCTTCCATAAGATAAATTGTGCTGGTTGGGCTTGGACCTCAAAATTTTAAAACTAGTTTCTGAAATATTGTAATTTGCCGTCACCGTAAGACACCTTGTACATTAACACAAAAAGCAAATAATCTTCATTGCTACTGAAAAATAGTTTTTGCTTTGTTCCTTTATTAATAGGTCTTCCATTCGCATTCTCCATATATCATAAACATTTTTCTTTGACAATAACTAGATGCGCGAAGAACTAGATGCCGAACCGGTAGTCATATTGACTAACTGTTCGCGATATTTCACAAATTCAGTTCTAGAGTAGAGCATCCATTAAAGGTAGTAAGTGCAACAGCGGAACCTTTATGAATATAAAAGAATTTATAACAACTGAACAAAATGTGAAAAGCTAAAATAATAGAAAAAGTAGAAGTGTAACTAAACACAATATGCCCTAGACATCTACACGCGTTGAACTCCCGGGACTGACTCTGGGAGACATACGGTATAAAGAGAAGACAGAAATACATACGTACCACCCTTCTAGAATTGTCATAGGGACCTACTTTATTAATTTGTCTTTATTTACAGATGATCCACCTCTGTGCTGTGATAGCAACCAGGCAATTACGATGGCAGAAAGTATCACTTTAAGTGAAGTTTTTGGTCGTTGCCCCACATGTCTTAAAAATCTTATTGGATCAATTTGTGCCTTTTCCTGTTCCCCTGATCAGGCAAACTTTATGGATGTAGTTAAAAGCGAAGAGGGTGGTAATATTAATAATACTTCAAGTAAGTTTGAAACGTTCAAGTTAGTATAAAGCGTTAGTATAGACTAAACGAATGACGAAAGTGTATTAATCTCGATTTTCTGCTGCTTTCCACCTTCATAATATTTTTTTTTTTTTCAATTCAAAGTTCCCATTTTTTTGTACCATTTCTCGTTATTCCACATCTCTCATAAATACGTATGTTCGACCGTCTCTGGTACCAGTTTACATAGTCTGCATATCTTCTTCTCTGCTTCTTCTCGGTACCTTGCTGTTCTGTTCTTAATTCCCAGTCTGACTTATACTTATACTGCTACATAGGTAAAAAAAAGACCATTAAATACTAGGCTACGAGAACACAAAAATGATCATAAGTAGCATAATATTATATACTATGCATATAAAACTGCCTTATTAAAACACAGTGTAGAAATTGACCATATTTCCAGCTTTGACAATGTGACAATCTTATTTACAGAAAATAACCACTTTAAACGGTTGTTTTTGGAAGCGTCGTTCATTCTCGTGTAAGGGACCAAAGCAATGAATTCCCGTTCTGATCTCGAAAATAATTTAATAGTTAACAATAATTATATCTACAATAAATTTAAATTAAAAAAGAAATGAATCTCGAAGAAACTGCAATGATCACACAGTNTAGTAAAATAAAAAAAATACAATTTCATTTTATATCTACACTGATTCCAGTCTGAAGCCAGACTGATCTTTCTAATCCTAAAAATTAACAATCATAATAAAACATAGAATGATAACATAGCAATAAGCGAAAGCGAAGCGTGAGAAACTACCAAGCAACGCGCATTTATTTTAAGTTAACGTGGGAAAAGTATAATATAACACCTTCGATTTAAAAACAAAATTTAATTTTCGGATAACAGTGGAGTCGTGTATGTTCTTCTAGACGAAACTGTTGGCTCTAGGAGGACTGAGATAGAAGATATGCAACTGCTAATAAACTTAGTGGTTCCAGATGAAATTTGACAGGCGTCCACTGTCCAAATCACCAATGTTGCCGTTATAATAGTTTATTATCCTTAAAATGTGTTTTCCGGATGGTATGTTCTACGGGGATGGAAAAATTTAAAGCAACCGGGGCAGCAACAATTGAAAAGGCAGAATATGACAATTAATGCAGCAACTGCATTCGGGACTGCTTGTAACTGATCCCATAAAACTATTGACCATATTGTTATTACTAGTCAGCCGACAGATATAATAACGTTTCCAAACTACTCACAAATAAATACGAGAAAGAAATGGAAAAACCAAATATCCAAACCATGTAAAACGTCGACTACAAAACTGTGCCATAGGAGCTACAAAATAAGCAGATTCTGTTCTCGAATTCTGGAAATGTTTGATTGATTACGAAATGTTGGAGAAAATCAATATACTGAAACTGCTCGATCACAATACGCACGTGAAGGAAATGCAAAATTCACAGACATTATTGGACTTGGAACTGTTATTGATCTGCTTTTTCTTGATCTGCCTTTTTTTCAGATGTATTCTAGAATAATAGACAAAGTTTAGAAGAATTCTGGGGTAACAATGACCATGGAGTTGAAATATTTCGTCTAATAGAGACTGTCAAGCGGTTTAAGTTTTTAATTCGTTGCATCTGTGACGAAAGTAGCAATTCGTAAATTTATAATACCAGACGTAACATAACCGCTGATAGTTGGTTCACAGGCACAGAACTTGTAGGCTCCTTCCAAACAAAAATAACTATTTTAAGTTGGCATAGTTAGAAGTTAAGTAAATGGTAACTTCTAATAAATTTCGTTGCAACTAATAAGGGACTTGAAATAAGTAGCCTATTTGAATTCTAAAAATACGCTACAATTATGTCTTGTTTTAAAGAAATATAAAAATGTTATCCTCATGTCCAGCATACATTTTGACAATCTTATTGATAAAATCTCAGAAGACCTAAAGAAACCTGATATTACCTTTTATAATACGATTAAATTGATCGAGAGAAAGTGTAAATTACTTTAGAGAAGTCCAACGCCACCTTCTCAATGTCATAACAGAGATAACGGACCGACTCGCCTTCTATAAAATGAAGTTACTTTTATGTTTATGAACCGTTAATTTAGAAATTCCGAAAAACCTATAAAAGGCTTTGTTTGGAGCTTGAACTTGTACGAAACATGCACGATAGGCGCGGCAGAAATGAAAAGTATACATATGAAACACTTTTGACATTTAATAGTGGTTAATACTAATTCATTTTCAAAATATTAGAAATGAAAAGGTTAGAAGCATTCGAAATGTGCTGTTAAAGACGAATGATGAGACTGTGAATAGAAAAGGTATGAAATGAAGGGAGAAAGTATTGGAAAGACTAGGAGAAAAGAGGTTACTGTGGAACTCAGTAATAAATAGACGGGATGGGTTGGTTAAGTGCCAACACACATATTAAAAGAAGAAACAGGAGTTAAGAGGAATAGAGGTAGACCTAGATTGGATTACTGTCAGCAAATAATTAAGGATGTGGGTTGTTCCAGTGTGAGAGGAATAAGAAGATCAGTTAAGGATAGGAAAAAAGTGGATGCGTGTGTCCAACCAGTCTTAGGACTGAACACCTTATAATGATGATGATTAACCAAAATCTGGCTAACATAATAATATATCAAAAACAGACTTTTTATAACTAAAGGTAAATTACCCATCATACATAGTTTATAAAATAGTAAGAAATTGGAACTTTTAGTATGATTGGAAATTGAAAAATATTTACATTATAACGAAAATACCACAAACGATCAAATTTACAATTTTTTCTAGTCCTTTAGCCTTCATTTCCACCCAGTAGATAATTAACGACCTCTGTTGCTACATATAAATGTACCTGCTTATACCGTATAAAACGCTTGTACCTGTATACCAATATCATAAGTACAGCCGAATTAGAAATGCTTAAATTCAACAATCAGCAAAGCTCAACGCTCGTGGAATAGCATATAGATTTCTTAACAGCACTGTCAAATGCAACTGGCCTAAATAACATATGTGGCGTTCAGGGAGCTCACACAATATAAGGCATAAGTCAGTTTATTGTTTTACGTGGCGATGCCTGTTGTGCAAGGACTTATTCACCACGTTTTCCATGGATGAGGTATTTAGGTATGCTCAATTAGCGCGTGAAGACTCAAATCAACACTCCCTATTTCGTCCACTCGGCTTGTACGGAGCAGTTTTGAGACACAGGTAAGCCGCCGATGCATTCCCCTTAGTCCAACATACAGACTGAAGTTACCACCACGGGCGCTTCCATTAGATGCTCTGACTCCCATAGTACCACTTAACATCACCAGTGAAACGTTTAGAACACCCACATAACTTCTCCTACTTAAGATTACTTGCAATTCTTGGCCTGGTGGATCAGATTCGCCGGGTTTGGTTATCAACTCCAGTACGCATCCCAAACCTTCAACGTTGCCGCGTGCAGATACCGGTCGCTTTTTTGTGATATTTAAACCTCCTTGAACTCAGACAAATGACTTAATGCCTCGGAAAAACCTCTCCCGCTCCCGGTTTGTCCTCCAAGTAGGCACTCTTCCGCCGCTGAATCTGAAATTCCCCAAATTCATATGCCAAAAAGTACTCATCATCATAACGTTGTCATCTTCAGAACCGTTGGGCATGCGAAATCACTTTTTCCTATCCTGAGGTATTTTTCGCATTTACCTAAATTTAGAACTTCCCACATGCCTAAGTATTACGTATGGTAATCTAATATATGTCTACTTCTGTTTGTTTCTAATGTGTCTCTAATTAGCCCTTTACGTCTCAGAAAGTATCCGACCAACTTATCTCGTTTATTTCTTATTGACTTCCATAGTGCTCTATGTCCTCCTATTTCCCCTACTCCCTCCTCATTCCTCACCTTCTCTAGTCACGCTATTTTCATTATCCACCTTTAACGCCACGTTTCCAATCTTTCCTCTTCTGCTGCGACCACTGTCCACGATTCGCTTTCGCATAGAGCCTTGCTTTAAACATACGGCTTTAACAATCTTTCTCGAACTTTAAAATTAACTGTTTGCGATCATAGATGTATTGAAGTACAAGTAACAATAATTAAACCTCGGAACTGAAATAAAGTCCAAACCAGAACACACACTAACATGTAAAATAGGTAGGTACTAATGGCTGACCGGTGAAAACTGGAAAAGAAAATTAAATAATAAGGATAGACAATGTTTTAAATAATAAATGTACAATTTACTTCTGAGTATGCTAGTAAGCGTTTTGTTTCGTAGCATAATAAACTGTACATTGGTATATTTTACATTCTAGGATACATAACCGAAATAAACATAAATATTAGTGAGCACTATATGAATAAAACGTACGACTCTTGTGTTGGAGTAGCAATGCCAAGTTCTGGAGGGGTTGTTATGGATAGTGCGTGTGGTGAATGGAGTTCAACTTACTGCACTCCTCAAAGGTAAAAACTTTCAGAAATCACAAAATTCCCTTTTTTGTTTGTACTAAACTAGTATAAACTGTTAGCAAATAATGCCTAAAAAGGTTCTGAGCATGGTATTTATTTTTACTGTTACAGGTGGTTCGTTTATATGGGAGTTGAAAATCCATACACTCCATTTAGAATCAACTATATGCCTTCAAGAAACAATGATTCTTCGGTACTAAATCCAAAGGCAGTTAACTGCAATGAACAGTTCGATGTAGGTACACATTATTCAAAAAACAAGCTTTTAATTATTTCTAAACTCGATTTGGTCCATAAATATATATCATTACAATTACTCACACTGTAAGTTTCTTTAAAAAATTTCAGTTATATGTATTTCTATAGATGTGTAAACATTATGCAAAATAAAATGTTTCTTTGTTCACTTTCATGTCGCAAAGAAGTGCCTATATACATAAACTAACCATAAGTATTGTCGCATAATGAAACACCTGTTCCATTACTACTGGTTTATTTAACATCAGATAATCAAGACCCTTGTAGTCAGATGTGAGTCACCTTAGCCAAGCAAGAAAAAATTATTGAACTTAGTGGTATTTCTTTATCTTGGACCACGGCACTTTGAAGAAAATGTGGGAAAGTTTAGATCAAACCAAAAACAAACTTCAAGTAGCACTTTCCACGCACAGAGCTTCAGAAGACGATGGTGATGGACATTTCGGCGTTACAAAGAGTCTAGGAAAGATACGCGAACGATTCAATTAGCTACGATGTAGAAACTCCGTGGAAGATATGCGCCGCCAGTAAGGTACCGAGGATGAGAAATGCAGCAGTACAACGTAGGACAGCACTTCAGAGAATCACAGAAGACATAGCAGGACCAGTCCCAATGACAAACTTCGATAACCGATACATCTTGGTCGTCATGAATCACTTTAGCAAGTGACCCGAAGCATACAAGATACTGGGTCAGAAGCCATACATTGATGCCAAAGTGTTTGTCGATAGTTGAAGTAGCCGATAGATAGTACCGATGAAATTACGGCTCAACCAAGTCAGGAGCATCGAATCGGACCTGTTTAGGGTTACTAAACTAATGGTAATTACAAAAATACAGCTTAAAAATCTTCTTCAATGATCAACAAACTGATTAAGTCCAATACATACCGCTATCTCTCTCAGTTAATAGACCCGTCATCCATGAAACAACTGGAAGAATACTGATCAGCAATTCATTTCATATAAAATAATATACTCAAGCTGTCAGTTGAAGTGATGTTTGATCGACCTAGAGGTTCTCACGTGTCTACAGACGATTACATGCGCAAACTGCAAGAACGATTAGAAACCGTCCATAACGCCGTACGTATGAGGTTGTCATATGAAGATGACCACATGAAGACCAGATACGTTCGTCGAGACTGCTTTGTTGATTTTAATGGAGGCAACAGTGTGTGGCTATGCGATTCATCAAGACGGGAGGGACATTGACCGAAACCACAGTTAGCTTGGGATAGTCCATACACCGTCATTTGACGCATCAACAGTATTGTATGTCGAATTTAGAATGGACTGGGCCAAAATGAAGGTCATCCATCTTGATCGACTTGCTCCCTGTTAGATTTTGGCTAGATTTTTCTAGTAACAAAGGATACCAGAGTTTCTGGGACCTTTCTAGAGCATGTTCGCTCCCTTTAAATAGTTACCGCGAGTTTTAAAATAGACAATCCGAGTAGTAGTTACGAGGCAACAGAAAGTAAATAAGAAAAGAAGCGTTATAGTGTGTGATGCAGTACATGTGAACGAGTAATGAGCTAATTGAAGAGTAAATGGTTAAATGGGTGTTTAATTATGCGACAATACTTACAGTTATTTATGCATAAAGACATGAAAGTGAATAAAGAAACATTATATTTTACATATAAGTGCACATACCTACACAAATATATATAACTGCAATTTTCTGTAGAAACTTTCAATGTAGAAAATTGTAAAACTTTAGCTGTTTATTAGAAAACAAGTAGGAAGTACATCACTAGATAAGGAATAATCATAATTGTAAAAATAAAATTGCTTCATCTTTTTTCCATTTTTATAAGTAGTGTTGTAGTTAGTTTTGGGTGTTCTGCCCCTTCACCTTTTTGCTCTTAATACAAAGGCTTGAAAGGGTGCAGGACAAATGAAGTGTGGTTATCAGTAACTACGTAAACAGAGAACACCTTTCAGCAATTGACTGCTACAAAATAGTAATGTCACGCTCTCTCCAAGGTCATAGAACCGTTTTGAATCCCGGTGGTTTTCAAAACGCTGTGGCGGTCTCTAAAAGAAATTATTCACAAAGTCATATGCGTAAATATGCAGCCCAGTTTAGGTTATTCCACGTAAAATATTAATTAAGCAGGCTTAACAACTTTTAATTTCAGCTGTGTTTTTCAATAACTTTTTTCGTTAATTTGGTGACTTAACAAGCCAATAAACATAAATAAGCAGTTAATAAAAGAAAGATCTTAAGTCAAAATTTTTAGAAATATTTGCGCATATTTATATAATGAATGATATTGTACTAAGTGGAATGCAATTATGGAGAATAATATGTTGATTTTGTATTTGTTTTTCATTTTTTCTCAGTTAGGAAACTTACTTTTTAGGCAGTCGCATATATTCTGTAAATATTACTGAACAGAATTTCATTTTAGAATGATACATCATCTTGTTCATGTGTTGACTGTCAGTTGAGCTGCCTTAATGGAAATTTCGTCGCTTTAGATGGTGCTTTTATGATAGCTGGTTTCTTTGGAATAACTTTTATTTTATCCATAATTTTATACATACTATCTTGCGTTTTAATGTACACTCTTATTAAAAGAAGACAACGGAGAATGGAAACGACAATACCAGATAAGACCAGTGGTAAGTTTTATTACTAGTCATAGTTATACATAAGTAGCTGCTGTCTGTAACCTGTGTTTGAAATGTCTAACACCAACTGTAGAGTTATGCAGTATCATACATACTTATAACAGCACAAATTATTATTTTTTTATATCTGATTTTTATCTTAAAGTATGTTCTGCATGTATCTAATTGTATATATTTTACGTTAAAATTTAATATCCAATCTAATCTAACCATCTTAACAGTAATTTTTTCTAATCATATGAATAACTCCCCTGAAATATTCGTTCAGTTTATCAACGTTGTCTACATCAAACTTTATGGGTACGAACATCAAGATTTTATTTAATAATGTATATTAAGATATCAAGCTAATAGTTATAAAAATTTTCTTATGATTAAATTTTTCCACTACTGTGGTGGCTGTCTGGTTTAGAGTGTTTCCCTCCACCCTCTTTGGAACGTATTTCAATCATTGATTTCCGGAAACACTCCTGTAACATCTGTGAAGATACATTATACAGGCGCAAGGGGGCACATTGTCGCCTTTGTGGCCCCTTACTGGGTGCGCAAGTCGTATATTTCCTACGTCAGTCTTCAACGTGCTTCTTGTAGTTGACCCTTCCAAAGATCTTGTAAATATCAAACCGAACAAACGTCATGAAGATACTGCAGACTTTCTTTCACCAAACTTTACAGTATGATTAGTTCATATCTGCTTTCAGAACTGAGTTTTTCAGGAAACCATCTTCTTCAACAATTTTAGAATTGAATAGTTACACCGGAGCAAAAACGCTCCACGTTCTTCACTACGTCTAATGACTGGTTGCATAATATATTATTGGGAATCAATAGTCTATAAATATTATTGGTTCTAATCGCTTTTTATGAACATTACTAATCGTGGATAGATTTTGTCTTCGCGGTCATAGGTATATTTTTTGTTGCTAGTAAGTTTAAAAAGGCTGGATAAGTTTAAACTAAAAACAGTTGGGATACATTTTTAACTATCTGGTGGTGCTTCAATAAGAGTCCAGCAAACGTCCACTTCCGGATGGAAACCAGGTCTAAATTGTGGGTCCATCAGTAACTGGTGAGAAAAACAAATCCAAAAAGTAAAAGAAGTCCTGCTTTCATTGTAAATAAAACCAAATGCGGAATGACATTAAACATAAAAATGTAACTATAATGTTTTAGAATGTTTTGTATAAGTGATAAAATAATGAGGCCTCTATTTTCTTATATTTTCTCTATTTAAACACCAACCTCCTAGACATACCTACAATAGCTACCTATTTACAGTCTTATTTAAATTCAAGTGGATGCATATTTTCATATAGATCCATCCGCTGATTAGTAATGTCAAGGAAAAACATGCCTTCTGTTGCCAGCAATAAATATACCTACACTATTACCAAGAAGTACAATATTACAATCTGCCCGCGATTAGCAATGTTTGTACGAAACGTACCAGAAATTAACAACAACCAATGCGAGACCTTAATTTGTAGTCTATTATTTATCAATGGTAGATGATGCATAAATGCACCCTGGTTACACAGGATAGAGTTCTGCTGAAATAGTTGATTACTTTCCATTTTGCAATTGAGAGCGTACCGCACCTATCCAACATTATTAGCGTCGGTGTGCAAAACGAATGTCTCAGTTGTTAACGTTAACTTACTTTAATTCCTCAAATGCAGCCTGGCAGTCCGGTCCCAACACAATGTTCTACTTCCTTCTCTAAGACGTGTTAAAAGCTTAAGTATTCACAAATCCAGGAACTGTAATATATATAATAAAGTCCAAGGAACCTTCGGACATTTTGTAAGTGGGCTGGTGCCGAGTCCTGCACTGTTCTAATTTTTTGCGGGTCGATACTTTAGATAGTTTGTGTATGTTGATATTGTGGACAGTGGCGTTGGTTCATCCCTTTTTGCCTTTTACTAATTCGAACACATCTTGACATTAATCGAGTAATTTTGCTAGTTTTTGCTCACTTGGAATGCGCTTTTCTTTGGTTTCCTAGAACATTCCCAATAAAGCTTCTGGAATCCGTTGGACTTTTGCCACCCTTTTAACTTGCGGAACAGCAGCGTCTTATATATGGAATTCGAACGTTTCTCCAATGTCAACACCTTTCTCTGAATTTTCAGCTACAGGTTATATTTCTAGAAAACGTTCAAGCCATGTTTACGTTGTCCTTTGTTTCCACAACCAGTGCACACTTTTGAAAAGTACTTTTATGTTTCATCATAGACCACTAATTATTTAGTTACGGTACGTAGCTTCTATTGGGTTTGAAAAAGCTCATTAGGTTTGGTCTACTTGCTCCAGTATTCAGCATGAAAGACGAAACACTATCAGCTCGGTCTTTCACGTCTTCGTCAATGCAACTAAACTTGTGACTTAGTTTCGGTTTCTTATTTTCCTTACTTACTAATCGGCGGAAAATCTCGTCAAAATTGTTATCATCTAGTCCGTCCGACACCTCGCGTAGCTCGCGCACTGTCAACAAAAAAACTTTTGGGTGTTTCATTCCCACCAGCCAGTAATGCTGGTGGGCGGGCAGTCCCTCCGGACTACGCCGGAAGGTAGGGCGGAGGGACTGCACATCTATGGAGCAGTGCCTTTCGAATGAAAAAAGTTTTATTCCTCTCCTTGTATAATAAATACCTGACCAACGTTTGAGTTTCCATATTAGTATAACAATGATTACTACTGTGTTATGAATGGTCACAGACTCGACTGCTGCCATCGCTTTGTGTTGATTGGTGTATATGACAAATTCTGTAATGAGAACACATCATCATCATCATAAGGTCGCCAGTCTTAAGACTGGTTGGACACGCACCTCCACTCTTTCCCATTCAGAGCTAATCATCGCATTTTCCTAAAACTAGAACAACCCACATCCTTAACTACTTGCGAACAGTAACCTAATCTAGGTCTACCTCTACCCTTCCTAACTCCCGTTTCTGCCTCTAGTCCTTTAACAACCTTTTACGAATTTCTAAATTAACTGTTCGTGAGTATAGAAGTGGTGTAATATTGATTGAAAAATCGGAAATATGATATCTACCCTTTATTCGAATTTCTTTATTGAATCCCAAAAATTGTCCGATTGAATTATCTTTTGAAAAATCAGTAGTTTTTGTACACTTTATTTCACATTTTAGCGTGTTGTTATTTGCATGAATTCGCAATACTATATCATTTTCTTTCATTAATTTAAACTGGTTTTGTATATAGTCATGTAATAATTTCTTGACACGAAAAGGGTGAGGGAGATGGCGTATGGTTTCGGAATAGTGCTATCTCTTTCATTACACGCGATTGGCTTCTCTGATGTACGGACGCAGGGCGTTCTAATAACGGCAATATCGTGAGAGAAACAGATATTGTCCGAAACTTCGTTCCTTCTCTTTCTTGTGTCGTACCACAATTCTGACCGCTAAAGCACGTTGATTAGTATACGTCAATAGTCGTGTATACATTTTACTTCAAAACCCCACTAAAAGTATATCGAATTTCTAAATTAACTGTTTGCGAGCATAGAAGTGACTTGTTTTTATTGAAGGCTACTCGACTCTGGGCTATCCTCTGCTTTATATTCTTCCTTTCGTCATTAGGACACGCATGACTATTATGTTAGATTGGGTTATTCATTTTTTCGGCTTAATAATAACCCAATATATTGCATTCATATGCTAGATTTCGTTCCATGACTTCTAGTCTGGTTGATTGACAATTTATGCACAGTTATACTAATTTCTTCAATTAAAGCATATACTCTGGAAATCAAATATTCTGTTATCGCATTTAAGTAACCTTGAGGGACCGTAATAATTTATGGCAAGTGATGCAACAGTGGAGTTTTCCTTCAATTTCCGATTTAACAATCAAATTATCGACTGATAAAGAGTAACTTTTGTCTACTTATTTTTAGTTATAGTGAACATTAGACGTATTTATTAAACCTATTTATTTACGGAAAGAGATTTACCTATTTTCTCAACCTAACCTCTTCTAAAAGATATAGATATGAAGTTCAAGATGACTAGTATCTGTAAATATACGGCTCCGTTCCGAAAAGGATAGAAAACTGTACACCAAAAATAAAGTACAAAGAGTAAAAAAATGTGGTTATACTAAGCAAGTCAATATTTATTGTAGGTGGTGCAAAACAATGGAGAATAGTTGGCCGAATTGGTGACAATATAAGAGCTTACATAGAAAAATTTTTTTACAATTTAGGATTCCGTAAGTATTAATCTGGTATAATGGCCAAATAAAAAAGTACATTTTTATGTAAGCATCTGCTTAGCAAAATTTATGAATAGTTTACCTCACATTGTTACATAGGAGAAGAAAAAGTGAAACATAAATCGAATGAAGCCAATAATGCTTTATATTTCTTTATACTGGGGTTTCGTTTAACGCCCACTCATGCAACATATTGTAAAAACGTCAATATTGCGACAAACAATTCACGTAAAGTTACCAAAAGATTTACCTATGTAGCAAGGCTGTCAAATGGTAAAAGCTACAGTTTTTTTTGCTTGAAAGCGACATTAATATCCCCGTTCAGAAGTTTTTGTAAAAATATGTACATAGGGTGTGACGCTTATAGCCAATAAAAACAAACAGGGCTACTTGGCAATAAATACTACAGAAAAGTGTGATAGCGCTTTGTAATCCAATCCCAATTAAACAAGCAAATCGCCTTCGTAAATTTGAACCTATAATTCGTTTGAATACGGACCTGTATCTAGTTGACTTGCCGTTCTAGTGGTACGACCTTTGGGTACAATGGAACTTACGTATACATACGTGCATGTGTTCGCACATACGATCATATGATCGACCAGTTCTTTGTTTACCTACCAGGGAACGGGCCGAATAAAATATTGATATTTTCCACCGTTAGCTTCAATACAAAAATGACAGAGCAGTATTTGTGGAATTTTGTGCCGGAAACCGAGAGCAGTTTTAATTGTACAATTCCTTTACATAGGCCAATAAGTGGCAAAGCATTGGTGTTCAATTAGGTGATCCACCCCCGGCCATGCTGCTGTGATGGACTGAAACTACCCACCGTTGAAAAAACATTTTCTTCAAAATATATTTCGTTGGGTCTTTTTCAACAAGTTGCACGATCCCATCTTCCCTTTTATTATCATAATTAACTTGTCGCCCACGCTCCTCAGCCCGCACAACAACACTCTCGCTATCTTGTCGTATCATAACATTTTATATTTCAAATGCTACTAGGAGCCTGTGGTTAAAATATTGATTACAAACGTCACACCCTTTATAACTTGGCGGTGTTTGCCGACGATATCATTACAAGAACACAATAAGAAGTAAACTATCTACTGGGCTACTGTGGCAAGTAGGTATATGCTTAAAACGCCTTCTGTTAAATTGTGTAGCAGAGAGCAAAACAAGTAATTTCAAATTTCACCGCTCGCTTCTAATACGTTTGGTCCTACATTTTTTAAAACTATCGCAAAAAGGTCTGTTTAAAGGCGAAAGATGACGAGCATTGATGGCTGGCATTTATGTTCATGTACCTAAACAGTAATTGTTGGCTGTTTATAACATGATACGAGGGTGGATTGATAAGTTTCCGGCCTGACCAAGAAAAACAAGGTTTTTAAAAATTTTTTTTTTTTATTTCTCAACATAATCTCCTCCAAGGCTGATACATTTCTCATAGCGGTGTTCCAGTCTATTAATGCCATCTCTATAGACTGATTCGTCAAGCTCCTCAAAATAACCATTTACAGCTTCGATTACTTCTTCATTGTCCGCAAATCTCTTACCGCCAAGCCATTTTTTGAGATTAGGGAACAGAAAATAGTCACTCGGGGCTAGGTCTGGAGAGTAAGGAGGGTGCGGCATCAATTCAAACTTTAGATCGTTGATTTTAGCCGTCGCAACGATTGACGTGTGCGCTGGTGCGTTATCGTGATGAAACAAGATTTTTTTCTTCGCCAGATGAGGTCGTTTAATTTTCACCTCGTGGCTCAAACGTTGCAATAAGTCTGCGTAGTATTGACCAGTGATAGTATTACCCTTTGCAAGGTAATCAATGTATATAATACCTCTTGCATCCCAAAAAACAGTAGCCATAACCTTGTTCGCCGAAAAAATTGTTTTTGCCTTCTTTGGAGTTGGTTCCCCTGGTCCAATCCACTGTTTAGACTGTTCTTTGGTTTCAGGAGTGTAGTGGTGGACCCACGTTTCGTCAACGGTTACGAATCGACGCAAAAATTCGCTTGGATTACGCTTATACAATGACAAATTTGCGGTAGAAATGTTTTTTCGAATCAATTTTTGGTCGACTGTTAGCAAACGCGGCACCCATCTTGCACAGAGCTTTTCCATATGCAAATGTTGGTGCAAAATATGTTGCACACGTTCATATGACATCTTACAGGTCTCAGCTATCTCACGCACTTTCAATCTGCGGTCTCCCAGCACTATTTGATGAATTTTTTCGATCATATCTGGAGTTGTGACCTCAACGGGGCGTCCTGAGCGAGGCCCATCAGAGGTGCTCACACGACCCTTTTTAAACTCGGAAACCCACTGCTTAACGGTTGAATATGACGGGGAGGATGTCCCCAGTGTTGAGTCCATCTCTTTTTTAATTTCCTTCGGCGTTAACCCCTTCAAATAAAAGTATTTGATGACAGCACGATTTTCCTGCTTTTCCATTTTTACGAAAACCACAGAGGCGTCTTGTTCAGCGTGCTGTCAAACCTACACTAGCAAGGAGATCGGGCTGAAACTATAGCTACAAGCTATCCAAGGATGGTACTATAGAATGTCACCTCAAGGTAGGCCTAGTGGCGTCATCTCTTGGTTAGGCCGGAAACTTATCAATCCACCCTCGTATATATTATCTCTTATACAGTGTGTCTAAATAAGTTGGGAAACCTTTTTATTATTAATTTTACGAAAAAAGTTACTCTTTTTATTCTGTTTTGACATAAAATATGAAATTTGTGTAACAGTGAAGTATCTTAATTTTTGAAAATAGTAGAAACCTATACAAAGAAAAGTTGTTGAGAATTAAAGTTAGTAATATGCAACCATTTCTATCAATTCTTAACATTATGATTTCGTATATTTCTTCATAGTCTTTGCCCTATATGAGTGAATACTTATGCATGCACTTTAACAATAATACAATTACGACCAAAGTTATCGTGTAAATAACATGTTTGTTAGTCTTACTCAATATTAATTTTAAAATCAAAAACAGCAACAATCCCGCGACTTTAAGTTTGGAAGAAAAAATTGAAACAATTTAAAATGTGAAAGGTAATGCCGAATTAAAATTTCCGAACTCAAAGTCGCTGGCATTATTGCTTTTTCGATTTTAGAACCATTATTTGACATTTAGTAAAAGACTGACAAACATGTTATTTATAGTGGAACATTGATCAGAATTGTCTTATTGTTAATGTACATGCATAGGTAAGTATTTACTCATATGGGTCATGAGTGTCAAGAAATATACAAAATCATAATTTTAGAAATTGAGAGATGTAGTTGCATATTTGTAACTACTTTTTAAACTTCAACAACTTTTCTTTATGAAGGTTTCTGCTACTTTCAAAAATAAAAGTACCGTACTGTTATACAAATTTCATATTTTGTGCCAAAACATGTATATGACTGACAAATTATTAAGTCTGATGATGTCATTATGTGTTTTAGACCATGCAGGACTTTTTATAAAGAGTAACTTTTTTTCGTAAGATTAATAATAAAAATGTTTCCCATATGCTGTCAACTTAAGTAGACATACTGTATATTGTTTAAGATGTTGCAAATCACTCAGCAATTGTTATATTTATTTGGACATGGATTGTTGCAATACTAAGTTATGGTTCCTTCAATTTGTCTTTAACAACAAATACTGTCGAATTATGGGCCNATAAAAAATTTTCTCATATGCTGCCAACTTAAGTAGACATACTGTATATTGTTTAAGATGTTGCAAATCACTCAGCAATTGTTATATTTATTTGGACATGGATTGTTGCAATACTAAGTTATGGTTCCTTCAATTTGTCTTTAACAACAAATACTGTCGAATTATGGGCCTCGCCAACCAGTCAAAGTCGCATGGAAAAAGACTACTTTGATACTTATTTTGGACCGTTTTATAGAACCGAGCAAGTGTTCATTAAAACAGTGGGAATTGACAGTGTAAGTTACAAAAAGTACAATAGCATTTTATTTCCTGTAACAGTTTGTATTCATAATGTCATAAGAGCTGCAGTGTATAAAAGAATTAAAGCTACAAAAATTAAAACTGATTACCACTTGAGCTAACAACTTCTCTTGTGCGTTTTCATTTTGTACGACTCTTTTAAGAAGTCCATTTTCAAATTTATGATTTTATGAACCACTCATTTGCGCTCTCATCCTTATTAAAAATGTTGATCGTAAGAGAACCTTTTTAAGTATTAGTATAATAAAAATACAGCAGCTATACATCAACAGTGAAAAGTAATATTTAATAATCCTTTATAGACTTGAAATTATACAAGCTTATTCTATTGAATTGTGCATAATATTGTGGTGACCCAACCCTCGCCTAATTTCATACTTATTTCATTTTGTAATTGTTAATATTTTACGTGTATAGTCACTGTAGTTAATGTGCAAACATTCTGCAGATATAACTTTCCATTCAAGATATGTACCCTGAAATAATAATACATATGCATATTCATTCCTCACTTCGCTGCATCACATCATTTCTACAGTATTGAAGGCCAATCTATCCCAGTCTCTCTGGGTTATTTTTTTGGAAATTATTTGGTTTTCTATTAATTTCTCTCCGTATTTATTAAACACTGAAAATACTGTGCAAACCTACATCCGTTTTTGTTTAACTTTGTACTCTACCAAAAGTTGGTTATAGTTGCTGCTTGAAGCAAGTGCAAGTAGCAGAAAGTCGCATTATGTGGAGATGTTTAGTACTTCGATGAACATTTTCTTTAATCATTACCTTCTTATTCAGGTTGCATATAATTCAACTTCAGATGGTGCTCTTTCAATCGGCCCTATCTTCAATAAAACATTCTTAATGGCAGTTTTTCAATTACAAAAAGAACTTGAAAATGTAAGTAAATTATTTAAAAGTACATATATCTATTCCATTTAATTAAAATAGTTACTATTTTATAACGTCTGTACTGTTTTAAAGATAACTCTCTCTGATGGATCAAGATTAGAAGCAATTTGTTATGCTCCAATAGTCAATGATTTCTCTAGCACCATGACAGTCAATGATTGTACAATTCAGTCAATACTCGGATATTTCGGTAATGACATTGAGACTTTCAATTCCGATCAAGATTACATCGGAACCCTTACTAAATGCTTTAAGTAAGTATCAGTAGTTATATACCGTTCTACCAAATTATTTATATAAGTTATTATACGCTGGCAATAGTTACTAGTCGATTTTCTTTTTTGTATCATTATACTAATTGAACCTCTCCAATATTAAATCTAAGGAGTCCGTATTCTGTGGATTGCTTAGCACCATATGGTGGTCCAGTATTACCAGGACTTGCTGTTGGAGGAAAAGCAACTGAAAATTATTTAGACTCAACTGGTCTTTCAATAACCTTTCTGGTTTCCAATAGTCTTAACTCCACGGAACTAGTTGCAGCTCTAGAATGGGAACAAAGGTACAGTGCTCACTTTCACACATTGATGTTAAAGTTACTGCATCAAATTAAATTACATCCACTATTTCGGTTTTAAAAAATTAAGTTCACGATATTGTCACGCAGTGAAGTTTTATGGAAACTTAAAAAAAACATTTCAAAATTAATTAAATATTTCATAATTATCACCTTGGTATTCTTTTAAAATTAATAAAACAGATAACGAGTTCATTTACTTGCAAAATAAGCGTATTTGGCATTCCGCAGCATTGAATCAGTAAGCGAAAAGAATTATCTATGTACAAGCAGAAATTGACGCCAGTTTGATAGTCCTGGTCCTTGTGAAAATTAAAAAGAATGCGTTCATAAAAAGGATCTTTCTCTTAACGTAGATCAATACACCGAAAGTTGCAATCATCGTCCGGGAGGTAGTGTCACCAACACCTAGAGTTTCCCACTGGTTACTCTTTTAAGGATAGACTTTTACCCTTCGCGTTCCCGAGTCGACTGATTCCGATCAGACTATCGATCCCAGTTCACGCGCTAAACTTTTTGATGAACCAGTGATTATTTATACATAGTTCAACATGGGTTATTCACTAGTTCTAGAAGTTTCTCTGGTTTAGATAATTTAACGAAAAAACTGACGAAGTCATCAAAAAGGACTTAATACAATAATTTTCGCAATGACCAGAATTATCGAACTGGCATCAATTTCAGCTTGTACATAGATAATTCTTTTGGCTTACCGCTTCGTTGCTGCGGAATGCTAAATACGCTAATTTTGCAAGCAAATGAACTCAATATCTGCTTTATGAATTTAAATAGAATAGCAACGTTATAATTATGAAATATTTAATTAATTTTGAAATATGTTTTAACCTCTAAAATTGTTTTTTGAGTTTCCTTAAAACTTCACTGCGTGACAATATTTCGCAAGATTCCTTATACATTTGTTTTCATAGAAAAACATGTGTACCATAAGTTACTAAAACTCTTCGCTTAATTCGCTATATGATTAGATTTATAGACTTTCTCAAGGACTGGGATTTGAACATGAGGCCCCCTTTTATGAGTATTGCTTTCTCAAGTGAGAGGTCTATTGAGGACGAGATCTCTCGAATGTCCAAATCAGAAGTAGGCACAGTAATTTTAAGTTATTCGATTATGTTTGTTTACATAATGTTATCCTTGGGACGAATAAGATCATGGAGAACTATACTGGTAAGTAAAAATTATGAAATGAAAATGCACAGTACATTGGCGATTTGGCGTAATTCAAAATATAACTTTTGGGCTACCTATGACAAGTAAGAATGTGTTTCGTATTCACCAGAATGAGAAATCCTAAAGTAGATAATATCCTGGTTTACCCAAACCAATCAAATATATATATATATTTCCGGAAGTTCACAGTTTTAGAGAAAAGAATAGTTGAAAGTACAAATAAATTCATTCTAAATTAATTGTTCGCGAGCATAGAAATGACTTCTTTTTGTTGAAGGCAACTCGACCCTGCTCTATCCTCTACTTTATATTCCTATTACTCTCTCCATTCTAACTTATCTAACTTCCTAGATACCTAAAATAAGTTTTCTTCTAATTTTTCGTCTCCTATCTTTATATTCGCTCTTTCCCTACTTTATTTTCCCTTGCATACTAATATTTTTATTTTACTTTTATTTATGTCAATACCGCTTCCTTCTTATTTAAAGCTATTTCTCCCTTGGTAGATGCCAATACTGCTATATCATCTGAAAATTTGAGCATACTAATCTTTTGTCCCTGTAAATTTATCCCTACAGTTGTACTGTCTTTAATGATGTTGATCGCGGCTTCGAAGTATAGAATACGTAATATATATAAAAAGCAACGGTGGCAGTGTGAATCCTTATCTGACTTGCTTCCTAATATTTACTTCTCTATGTTGCTGCTCCAGCTCTATAACTGCCTGCTGCTCTTTATACAAAGTAGATACCACTCTTCTATATTTATAATTCATCCATTCATTTTTGAGTATTATTTAACATCTTGTCCTATTTAACATTGTCAAAAGCTTTTTCTAAGTCTACAAATCCTAGTACGCACTCTTTCTTTTTTCTATCGTTTTCTCCATTATTACTTGCAAAGCTAGAATGGCTTCCCGCGTTTCTCTATTTCTTCTAAACCCAAATTGATCTTCCCCTAATAGTTCTTCCGGTCTTTTTTCCATCCTCTGTGTAATTCTAGTTAAGATTTTTGACGCATGGGAAGTTCAACTGATTGTTCTAAATGTCTCGCACCTATCCGCGCTGCTCCTTTTAGGTAATGGTTACTACCACGTTCCGTTTATAATCCTCTGGAGTTTTTCCCGTCTTGTAAATGTAACTAACTGGTTTAAACATCTCTAACCTCTTCTCCTGCATGTTTTAGAAGTCCTTTAATTTTTTTAATGCTACATCGAACTCTTCTCTCATTATGGAATAACCTAGCTCATCTATTTCCACACTATCTTCGTTCTCTAATGTATCTCCTAATTCATGGCTTGCATATGGGTTCTCTAAGTATTCTTTCCACCTATTTGTCTTTTCCTCTTTTTCTATCAAAATGACCACTACCTCGTTTCTTATATTATTGCTACTGTACCCTACTTCTTTAATTATATTTTAAGATTCATTACTTACTTCAAACCTTTCTCCTACTTTTTAACACCTCATATCAGTCCACTGTTCCTTAGTTGCTCTACAATTCAATACTAATCATTTCCCACTTTATAGTCTTATATCTTTTTTGTCCTTCTTCGTCTGTCCTGTTTTTGTATTTCCGCGTTTCTTCTATTAATGCTACAATCTCATTTGTTATCCAGGGATTTCTACTTTCGTTTTGTTTAAGACATAGTATATCTGTGGCTGTTGACTTTAGGCACGTTTTAGTGCAGTTCCATGGGTCATTGGTTTCTCCCGTCGCCTTCAGTATTTAGCCTGTCCTTTTGCCTAGCCTATCACGCGTTTCGTTGCATTTTAGCTTTTCTAAGTCAAAACGTCTCGTACCTTCCCGTGTTTTTAGAATTTTCAATTTAAGATTGACCTTCATAATTACTATGTTATGATCGCTATCTATATCTGCTCCTGGATAACTCCTACAGTCCTTCGTATGACTTTGAAATCTTTGCCTAACAAGTATGCAACCTAACTGATATCTCCTTAAATAACCGGGCATCTTCGATCTATAGCGCCTCCCAACGTGATGGGTGAATAAGGTATTCGGGGCGGTTAAGTTATGTTTATCGCAAAATTCTATCAGCCTATCTCCTCTATCATTTCTATTGTCTCCTACGCTGCGCTGAAGTCTGCTACAACTATTAGGTTTTCCTGCCCTTCCACTAAACTTAACACGTCTTCTATACCTGCACAAACCGTTTCTACGTCTTCGTCACTGTTGGATGATGTAGGCATGTAGACCTGCACTAATGCCGTTTTTACCTGCTTCGAGTTTAATTTAATCAAAACTATCCTATTTCTTTTTTGTAAATTACTACTACTTTCCTACGCATTACAATTCCTACCCCCGAATTACCTTTCACCTATCCTGTATGTATTATGCTAAAGTCTTCACGCTTCGGGCCAACGGACTTCACTAATAATATTTTACGTTGTATATTGCATTTAAAATAATTTTTAAGTATTATGCCGTAGGTATAATAAACTATGCCGTAGGTATAACAAACATAGTCGAAAATAAAGAAAGTCAATACAGAGAAATTTATTTTAGTTAAATATTATTTAAAAATATTTCAAATGTAAAATCAATAAATGTTCTATATTATGTTAAAACAAAAACAAAAGATGCACTTTTTATTGGTAATTTACTACTCCAAAACCGGCCAAAGAGAAATTCGAAGCAGTTCATCATATTCGGCATAGTCTTAAAGCATTATTTTATATGTTAAATAATATTGTGAATTTGATGCCCTATTTTCTTCAATGACCTTAAAACATATATATTCTGAAAAATAATTTGAGTGTGGGTGTTTTTACACTTAAACCAGTAAATATGTACGGCGTTGCTGAAAAATGAATCTACATAAAAAACACCATGAAATAATGCAAACTCCGCACCGAATTAAATGGCTAAAAATCATGGTGGAATTGCCTAAAAATAAAAAATTGCCGTGGCTTCGGGTACCGTCAGTTTTGTACGGAACTATGTTTTAAATGATAGTTTTTCTTTGACTTATATTATTTTAAAAACGCCGTACAAAAATAATTTATCAAAATGCCCTACTTCAAAACTTTGTTGCACCTGCATACTCAGGTGTGCCGCCTCCTATTGGCGGCCTATTGCTTAAAGTTTGTCTCGTATGGTACTACAATCCTGTAATAATAGTGAGTAATTTTACTCCGTGGATTTTTAGAACGGGCTTGTAGTCTATTACTTCAAAAAAACGTTCTATCTAGCACTATAATTTTTGTGAGATTTGGATAATATTTACTAGAGAAAATAATTTTTCTACGTTTGTATGGGCATGAAACATTATTACACTCACTGTTAAGAGGAAACATTGATTTGATGAATATGGAGGAAATGGAATCTAGTAATATATTTTTAGAGTTATGCCTATAGCCTATTGCCTATAATACAGCCCTCGTGTTATTATGGTTTTACATAGTGCCTTTTTCGATCAAGCTTTGTTTAAAACAATACTCTTAGTCTAAATAAATTTTAGGTTGATTGTAAAATAACCTTAGCTGTTGGAGGGATTGTCTTGGTTTTAGCATCAATAGCGTGTTCTTTGGGTACAGGTGGATATTTAAACTTCACAATTACTCTTCTTACTATTGAGGTTATTCCATTTATAACACTGGCTGTGGGGGTAGATAATATATTTCTTATTACTCAAGCATATCAGGAGAGTCTCAGGTAACATTTAATAAAAAAATTGAAAAGGAAACTACATAATGATTGTGTTTTTAGAATTAATGATTGCACACATTCGGAGCATGTCGCTAAAGTATTATCTAACGTCGGGCCAAGCATCCTACTCGCCAGTGTTTCTGAAATATCCTGCTTCAGTTTAGGTAAGGGTGTTAATAATTTTTTTTAAGTTCTACGTAAACATCAATGAAATCTATCCAAAATTTAGTACGGTATTCGTCTGTTTATCCTGTACTACTAATTAAACGGAAAAGGTTTGTATACTTATATACATATACATACAGAGTGTTTAAGGGTGCGTTCATGTACATTATTATTTTTTTATTATGGAATACTGTGTATCCTGTTGGATTTCCCTTTCTTCGACTACTTACCCCACATTATAAACTAGTTGTTAACTTTCCATATTATTAAACCATTTAACCACTTATGATAAGGTTGCATCGAAATAACCCTTTTTTTTAATTAAGTCTTTTTCATTTTCTGATAATATTCCATGATAATAATTAGTAAGTACATCATATACTATCCCTTATCTGTTAAAAAAACATTAAAATAGATGAGGATTATGCCTAATCATAAGAAACTGCATCAAAATTATTTCATTTTAAACCAGTCAATTTAAAAATAAATGTTTGGGCTTTAAAATGATACTTTAAACTTCAAAGCAGACGAAATCATAGAATGAAAAATGAAAAAACGGTAAACAATTGAAGTCAACCTTAATAACATATTGCAAGAGACAGAGGACAGTCATAAACAGTAAAACGAATTGCTACTCATTCGAATATGGAGCGGCAATCAGGGAAGCTAATTAGGTAATGGTTTGACCCAACCTAGGCAAGTAATAGTTTTAATTAGCAAAACAAATACTTGAAAATAATAATTTCAATTGCAATTAACGCGAATACTAATAATTGATATCTACAATCAAGTGCATAGTTGCTTGCATCCTTTTTAATGACATGTGAAAGTAATTAAATTTTTAGGTGGTTGTATATATTTTTAAATGTTACGCGACGATAGCCTTAGATGAAACTGATGTCTGAAAGGAAAAGTCAAAACGATCAAGCAGATATTGGGCTAGTATACCAGTGGCCCGTTTTTATTCGTGGCCCATTTGGTATATATTTTTCTTAATTAATATCATTTAACTTTACTATTGCGTTTTCGGCGGATATGCTTAAGATCATAAAGTTACGGTAGGAACACAAAGTGAGTGTTGCTTCATTAACGAGTTTTTCCTTTTGTGTGATAGTCAATCTCTTTTCAGTAGCCCTGCAATTACTAAAATGCTTCATGAAGGGAGTTTAGGCTGCACTGATTCTGTCTAATTATATAATTAAAATGAATTTATCCGGTGATGCATTTACAATTTTTCTTTCGTTTTGTATACAGTGTGGCTCAAAAAGTACACAACATGGTCATTGTTTCGAAAGTATTAGTTAAATCAAAATCATTTTCAAAGAAAACTTGTTCCTATTTTAATACAAGATCGTCTTTAACATCTTACTTTAATTTACTTTATATAGTTCAAATATAGGAAAAGGAAAGTAACGTTTACTGTTAAACTTGGGTTCAATTAAAAAAAGTTATAGGAAAAAGTTGTTCAGAATGCCAAAAGTTGGGCCTATGCAAAAAACCGCGGAAATACTCAAATGGTTTTTCCTCGTGTCAAATGGTCCAAAAAGTTCGCAATATTATCCACTCATTGTGACCAAACTACACTTTTAATCAGAAAAATTAATCATAGAAACCTTATTCCTTCTGTTTATATAAGATCTTGTGCAACATACAAATGTCTTTATTTTCTTAAATTGATCTCAATAAATGATTAAGCGTAAAATTTGACGCTGAGATACAGAAATCAAGTTAAACTTAAAAAAGAAGGTACATCTTTATTCAAAACGATGTTGTCTTTTCATATCTACGTTCATCCAATTACAAACTTTTTGGGTCATTTTGGTATCACGTCTTCGGTCAGTTGGACCAAATTAAAAAACATTTCAATATTGCCGCGATTTTTTGCATGGCCCCATATTTTACCATTGCGAACTACTTTTTTCAATAGGACCCATATTTATCATTGCAACCATTTAAGCGACATCTTCTTTGCTATTTTTGAACACCCTGTATAGAAAATTAAATTTAGATATCACAGGCGATCTTGTATTAAAATAGGGAAAAAGTTTTGCTTGAAATTTTTTTTATTAAATTTATAGTTATTTTATTTATGTTTTAGTTTTAAACATATTGCGAACTCTTTGGGCTCTTTAACTCGAAGAAAAGCATTTGAAAATCGCCGTGATTTATATATTTCTATACTTATTACTTTTTTCCTTTTAAATTAAATCATTTTCTATTTTTGAACACTCTGTATAATATTTTGTATTAAAATAGGGAACAAGTTTTGCATGAAAAAGTTTTTGATTGACCATATGTCGGAAGCGCTTTTTTAGGTTACAGTACTGAATTTGAAAAAGACGGCATTGATTTTATAATCAAATTATTTTTGGGAAATAAGGTAGTAACGAAAGTAGTGTTATAGTATATGTTTATTAGTAAAAATAAATTAGGTAAAAATAAAAAGTAAAAACGAAGTTCTTATGTAATAATGGAAAACCTAAATTGTGAGGAATTATAATAGTAAAATTAAATCAATCTTCCTCCATTACACGCAATTACTGCATCGAACTGCTTTCTGACTATGTTCTTTGCACATATAGTGCAAATGTCGTGCCATATTTCAATGTGCACTGCATACATGACAACTTGCATTACGAACGCGATTTACTGCTGCGATACTTCTGCTGAAGCTCGATACTGTTCTTAAGTTACTTGGAAATGTATTTATCTATTTTGGTTCGCTCCTTCATATGATCCTCTTAATCCTAATTTATTCGGGGATATTCCTCTTTTAGGTGTTATTTTCAATGGCATAGTGTTATTGAGTACAATTTCGGAAATTATTCCTATTAAATCAAGGATACGGAAAAAAGTCAGCCGAGGTCATCTTCTAGTATTTCTGTGGGTAGTGTATGACGCACATTTTTTATCAACCCTTTGGTTATCATCTAAAATGATATTAATTTTATTTGCCCCTTCGTCAACTTCCCCATTGTTGTCTACAGCAGAAATTAAAAATACAGCTTCATTTTACTAGGGCACGTACGAGGCTAAATAAATTTCGTCTTGAAAACTGAATGAAAAATACCCAACTGGACGCATTCTGTATGGAAGGAATGCCTTTTTTATTCTTCTTCATTGTACCTATCAACGTAAGACTATTAGAAGAAGAAGATCTTTCACTGGAGGATAACTAGTGAAGTAATTATCAGTGGTCAGATTTCTTATTGACTTTTTTGAAGGGCCTACCAATTCCTGCACAATACTATATAAAATTTATTAAAATTAATATAAAAGATTACTTCCTTGAAAAATGAAGGACTAAAAATAAATGATTACAAAAAATACATATATGACAGGCAGCGCTTCTGTAAGCCGCAAATTTTCAATTCAATATTTCGGTTTACGCTAAAGTTAATAGAAGTGAATTCGCATGAATTGTATGTGTTGTCAAATATCGTCAGACACACATAAAGTAATGCGGTATACAGTGCGGCTATGCCCCCGCCGATTGGTTAAACTTATATATAATATGTGTACTTTTTGGGTCACGTTTACTTTTCAAAGTTAAAATTTATAACGGTAATTGATAAGTATAGCATATTAGATGGCATAATTTGTTATAAATTTTACGGTAGTATGTCTTACTGATTTTCTTGAACTTTTCGGGCAATAAAGTTTGTTATTGTAAGTAAAGTTGATCTTAGTAACTGTCGTACTAGTTGAATTAAAGATAGTTAAATTGAGGGTGTTGGTAGATAAATTCTTGTAAAAAAAAATATGGATTGATGTTACATACATACAACTCTCAAATTTTTGCCAACATTCTGGGCATCATCAGATCACTAAGAATATATAAATGAGAAGTTGAAAATCACAATTTTGTTAATTTTACTAAGCCGTAATTAATGTTACTGGGAAAATTTAAGTGTAATTTACATATATGCTAGTTAGAAATGTGACCATTCCAATTACACACTGAACGTCAAAAAATCTACCGTTAACAGAAACAAAACACACAAAATGTTATAATTAGACACAACATCACTGAAATCCTTTATGAATGGCTGCAATTCTCTCATCTGTTATTTTCATTAATTTAAAAAGTAAGGAAAAACTTCTAATGAATGTACATTCAAGAACCTGACCTATAATAATACAAACACAATTTCCCATAGGTATATCTTCGGGATGTTCTTGCGTTTTGCGAACTTTGATCGACTATATTATTATTTGTGACACTGAAAAATGGAAATTTTCCTAGATCTTCAGAAGTTCTGATAGCACATGAATGAGCTCTCAAATGATATTAGCTGGCCTAATCTTTTATTACTTATCACTATATACTGCTACCACTATATACTATACGTACTATTGAAAATTTAATAACTGTATCAGTAGTAACGAATAATGGAGATAATTTAAAATGGATACCTAAATAACAAAATAATCGTATTTAACTTACTATATTTTAGGTGCACTTTCCGATATGCCAGCTGTACGGACGTTTGCAATATTTTCCGCTTTGTCTCTTGTTTACGGATTTCTTTTGCAATTAACAGCATTTGTTGCCCTTTTAGGTCTAGATGGATATAGATATCAGGTAAAAATTATATTGATATACTAATAGACAGTTTAAGATTTAGTAATGATGATTAGAATGATAAATAAAATACAAATTTAGAAATTCGTATTGGTGGGAATTTTATGTCACAAAATAATTTCCATTAATTAAAACAAATTCCTAGAAACTATTTCTTTCCAAATACATTTTTGTATGTAATACAATACTTTAGGAATAGATGATGGTTAATTTCTTGAACTTTCATAATAGGGAAACACAAGTATTGGTTGCAAATTATATTTATTCATAATACTATAATTGTTTCGTCATAGAGTGATAGATTTTTACCATTTGAGGAATTCACTACGTGACGAAACAATAATAATTAATTATAGTCAAAACCTGCATCCTTTTTGTTATTACGAATTAAATTGTCAGTTGCGGAAACAGGTAAATACTGCACCTTAACTCACAAATATTTTATTTTTCCGTATATACAGGTAATTTTTACGCAAATGAATGACTGTCGACGATGTTGCTAACATGCAACAGTGTCTCCCCGATAGCTTACTTATGTTTTATTTTTGTAGGAAAACAGAATCGATGTGCTTTGCTGTATTCAACTCAAGAAAGGAGATAAAATTGAAACGAAGTCTTGGCTTGATGTAATTTGGTCAGAAATTCTTACTCCATTTATTATGAGGTAAGACCAAAGAACATTGAGGGCTTCAGTTACCTTAGAATATTAAATGCGTCGTACATTTAAGATAATAGTTTTAATAACTATACAAGGTAGTTATTTTTAAGAATATCTAATATCTATTTTTTTTTTCATTTTTTCGAGAAACCGACAAAGGACTATAAGTTAAGTGCAAATTTAACTAATGCATATTTAAATGACCTGGAGCAAGTAATAAGTAAGATAAAGGAGATGAGGGTAGTAGTAGGAAGGAAAAAATTCGACCATGACATACGCAGATGATTTTGTATTGATATTGTAATGTTCGTGGGTTTAACAAAATTAACTTCGAAGACTGATAACGACAAAAACGATTTTTTTACACAAATTATTAAAGAATTTAAAAACACTATTAAATTATTAAACTTAGGTTACGAATTATTCTATTTACTTACACTACTGTTGACATATCACTATTCACTGTGCTATTTATTTTACTGGTATCACTGTCAATTTATTTCTCATCTTTTCTCGGCGATGATCTCTTGCTTTAAATACTCCTTTGCTTCCTTTCGGGAACCTTCTTGAACCGTCCGGAAAAGTTTCATTTTCTTTGAACTGTTTACCTGCTTTCCCAGAACGCAGGAACGACACATACGTTTACAAATACGACGCACATGAAGAAAGGCGCCCGCGGCTAGTCGGCGAATCGATAAGCCGCTCACACACACGTATGCCCGATCGCACACAAACGCGCTTGTGCTCGCTACACTGCCCCTCCTTAAGGATATTTTGTTCCGAAACATTTTCACTTTCCGTTTCGCAGGATCATGCCGGAATCTGCAGTTCTCGCCTTCACGACATCCGCTCCGGGAATAGAAGTAACAGTCCACGGTCTTCTCATAATTGGTCCGATTCGGGTTATTACTGCAAATCAAAATGTCTACACCAGGACGGCGGAACAGGACTTCGATCTTGTTCCGTACGATCCTCCAATCTAGGTTGTACAGTCCACAACCAAGCTTCGGAATCGCCAGCTTCTGTAGGTTATTCTCCAGAAGATGTCCGCGGAGTTCCATTACTACGTCCCAAAAGTCTCTATAAGTTGGGTTACCAGAGCATCTTCCTTTAGTTACTAGGTAATATATATAACGTCGTCCGTCAGGCAAGCACAACTGTTTTTTTCCTTCTGTATTTGGTCTTTAAGATGTTCCAAATCGCGTTTGAACTCGGACGCGATACCACGGCTCATTCTGAGATTCTTTGAAACGCAATGAACCAGAGAATATTTCTTAAATATAGCAAAGAGGTGTCATCGGATATAGTTCTTAATAATCTGGCCCACGCATCCTCTTCATTTGCACCAGCGAATGGAGCCAAGCGATTAAAGTGGACTACCTTCGGCTTCCCATTTAGAGTTTTCTTAATTGGGTAGACCACGTCGTTAATCCTCTTCACTATCTCATAGGGTCCTTCTCAATTCTGTTGGAACATAGGTGATAGTCCACGGCGACGACGAGGACAGTTTGGTAACCACCTGCTGTAGCCTTGATGTCGTAGTTTTCTTTAATCCTGTCACTAGCAATCTGCGTATGCAGGCGAACCCACTCGTGGATATCGTTAAGCTTCCTTCGGAGGTTGTTAATATAATCTTCTCCAGCCAAGTCATCTCCTGGTTTACAACCGAATTTGAGGTCACAAGGTAGTCGTAACTCTCTTCCAAATAGGACACTAGCAGGTGTTTTGCCAGTCGTTTCGTGGACAGATGAACGGTATGCCATTAAAAATAAAGGCAAATAACGGTCAGTCCTTTTGGTGATCAGACACTACCTTGAAGAGATATTAAATCAATGTTCGGTTCATGCGTTCGACCATGCCGTCCGATTGTGGCTGGAGTGGAGTAGTTCGAGTTTTCTTTATTCCTAGGAGCTCGCATATTCCACGGAATATAGCCGATTCAAAATTCCTCCCTTTGTCTGAGTGCAACTCCAAGGGCACCCCAAAACGACTGATCAGCTCTTTCACCAGCTCCTCAACTATGGTTTTCGACTCTTGGTTCGGAAGGGCATAGGCTTCAACCCACTTAGTAAAATAGTCCATAACGACCACGATGTACTTGTTACCTTGCTTGGACTCTGAGAATGGACCCGCCACATTGATTGCGATTCGTTCGAAGGGGCCACCGACATTGTATTGACGCATTGTCGCCTTTGGCCTTTTCTGTGGTCTATTACTCGCGGCACAGGTGGTACACTTCTTACACCAATTCTTGACATCTTCCTAATAGTTCCCCCAATAAAATCGCTCTCTAACTATCCCAAGCGCCTTATTCACCCCAAAATGGCAACCAGATGATCCATCATGAAGATACTGCAACACTTCTTTAACCTTGTTTCGAGGAATAACCAGTTGCTTCCTATCTTCCTCTCCATCTGGACTTTCAACAACACGCTTCAGGATGCCATCCACCAAAATCATTGAGTCCCACTGAGCCCATAACAATTTTAGTACTTGGGTACACGAAGAGATTTGCTGCCACGTGGGCCGTTCCCGTTTCTTTTCCATTCCATCACCTTCTTCAAGTCCGGGTCGTTTTCTTGGTCGTGTTTTATATTTTCAGGTAACCACTCGTCATCGATTACCGTGACGCGTCCAATTGCTTCTTAATTATTTTCTATTCGATCATATTGCTTGCCGTCTGTTTGACGTCGAGTAATTGGGGAAGGAGCACTTTTCCTACACTGCCTCCTCATATGACCTAGATCGCAGTAGTTCCAACATAGCTTTTTTTTCAGGTGCCCAGTTATTCGCCTTAGCAGCCGCCTCGAATTGCTTGTGGGACGTGGTCCATGAGGACTTTTCATCAAAAGTTGGTGGTTTTATTCGTGTTCTTGCCTCTGTTCCGCTTCCTTGGCTGACTTGGCTGGCTTCGCAGAGTGTACTAGATGCGCCAACATCCCCTTCGATTGATTTTGTCTTTCTATTAAAAATCATTTTTTCCAGCACTTTTATCGTCTCTTCTGTTTCTTGAATATTCTTATTAAATATTTATTCCCTTTTATTATTCAAAATTTTACTGTTTTCTTCCAATTCACGTTTAAAACTTTTACTATTTTCTTCCAATTTGTTTTCCAAACTTTTACTGTTTTCTACCAATTTATTTTCCAAACTTTTACTGTTTTCTTCCAATTTATTTTCCAAACTTTTACAATTTTCTTCCAATTCACGTTTAAACTTTTACTAGTTTCATCCAATTTATTTTCCAAACTTTTACTGTTTTGTTCCAATTTATTTTCCAAACTTTTACTGTTTTCTTCCAATTTATTTTCCAAACTTTTACTATTTTCTTCCAAATTTTCTTCCAATTTATTTTCCAAACTTTTCATCAGTTGCGACAATTCGTCTTCGAAAAGGGACGTTTCAGGATCATGGCCATCTCATTTCAACGCCTCCGCGAGCCGCCACTGAAGTTCCGCTTTGTTACCGCTTGTCGCATCATCCCGTTCTTCCAATTCTCTTCTACTTTTAATTCGTACAACTTCTTTGCCATTGTAATGTCTTTTACTCAACCCCACACCTGACACCAGTTGTAATGTTCGTGGGTTCAACAAAATTAACTTCGAAGACGACAAAAACTATTTATTTACACTAATTATTAAAGAACTTAAAAACACTATTAAATTATTAAACTTAGGTTATGAATTATTCTATTTAATTACACTACTGTTGATATATCACTATTCACCGCGCTATTTATTTCACTGGTATCATTGCCACTTTTTTTCTCGATTCACTTCTGCAACGGTCAATTTATTTCTTCTCTTCTCTCGGCGATCGTGTCTTCCTTTTAATACTCTTTTACTTCCTTTCGGGAACCTTCTCGAACTGTCCGGAAAAGTTTCTTTTTCTTTGAACTGTTTACCTGTTTTCCTAGAACGCAGGTACAACACACACGTTTACAAATACGGCGCACATGAAGAAAGGCGCCTGCGGCTAGTCGGCGAATCGATAAGTCGCTCACACACACGTATGCCCGATCGCTCACAAACACGCGCGAGCTCGCTACAATATCGAAAAATATAAGGGCTTTGAACCTAGTGATGAAAGTTTTAGAAAGATATTTGGGAAGGAAAGGTTTAGTGGTAAATACTTGCAAAACGAAATTTATATAATTTGGATGAGTAAAGAGTAGGAAGGGAAAAGAAAAGAAGGAAGTAAGATATACGGGTGAAATGATAGAGAAGGTTAAAAAATATACATACTTAAAATCAGAAAAATAATAATGATAAAATACATATAGATGCTCTATTGACGGGTGAGTGTCTTATTAGAAACTATTTGGGGGATACGGTAAAGTTAAATATGAGAATGATGGGGTTAGGAGGAAAAGGTTGTTTTAGTAGTCAGTGAAAAGTATAATATTTTTTGGAGTGCAATTAAGGGATGGAAAAAGTAAAAGCAAGTGGAAGACATTAATAAAAGGTACTTAAAATGGGTATTAAATTTAGACGGAAGCACACCGGATTATGTGATTAAGAGAGAAATAAGGTGTGGGAATTTAGTTGGGGAAGCTAGAAAATGAGTGGTAAAATACAAGCTGAAGTTGCAAAAATTAAGTGAGAAAGAAATATAGAGGAAGAAAAGAAAATCTTAAAAATCTCATTGAAAAATATATGTGACAAAGAAAAAGAAGAAGTGTTAAGAGAGTTACAACCAAATTTCTCAATTATACCACATCCATCATCTTTATTCATTCGTGTATTGCAACCCTTCTTTTATAGAGGATAATACCACTGTTGTCACGTATAAAACGTACGAAGCCTAACGCAAGAGTGACTGTCTCACGTCGTAAACAACCAGTCCACGTTACGTACCTACGTGGAATCCCGTGGAGTCACTTAAAGCTCACGCAACGTCGCTCACGTTACCATCATCTAAGCTTTCGCAAGCAGTCTGCTATCGCAAAGTGCGAATGTGTTATATAAAATTTACCTACCAACAAAATAAGTGCTTTTACGTAACGTTATTTCCTAGGTTAAGTGGTTATGCAAACGATCTAAAAACAGTGGATTAATAACAACAACTGATATTTCAGATTTGACGTGAGATGTGCCGTGATGTTTCTGTTCTCAATTTTCTTTGCTATCAATCTAATGTTTGCACCATCGGTTGGTTTGGGACTAGACCAGCAACTTTCCATGCCAGACGATAGCCACGTCGTAAAGTATTTTGAGGTAATATTTTTGTAAATATATATATGTTTATATAAATAATCCTTTATATCTAACTTTTATTTAGTATATGTATGATCTTCTGGGAACTGGTTCTCCCATATATTGGATTACTAGAGGTAATTTAAATTATAGCAGTGCAGAAATTCAGAATAAACTTTGTGGTGGCGTTGGATGTTTATATTATTCTACAGCAACCCAATTANAAATAATCCTTTATATCTAACTTTTATTTAGTATATGTATGATCTTCTGGGAACTGGTTCTCCCATATATTGGATTACTAGAGGTAATTTAAATTATAGCAGTGCAGAAATTCAGAATAAACTTTGTGGTGGCGTTGGATGTTTATATTATTCTACAGCAACCCAATTATATACAGCTGCTCAACAGCAGAACATGTAAGTGAAATTATATAAGGTATATGTAAGTATACGTTGTAATAGTCAATTTGAAAAGTCTAGCACTTTAGCAAATAGCTATATTATTTACCACTTCCATTGTGAAACTAGAAATTTAGTATTTAGTGAGACGGCCACTTCTTAATGGCCAACGTAACATTAAGGTATTGTTCGATGCCTACCGCACATTGAAAAGTGTATGAAATCCACACGAAATCGTGTGGTTGGCAATGAACGTATTAAAGACACCAATTTATTTAGCAATTACCTAATCCTTTAAACAGAATATATTACAGTGAGTATTTACATAGCGCAATAACCATTAGGATTTAGGACACACTAGTATTATGCAGGATTACAGGAAATTCGATACATTCCCCTGGATGAGTTAGAGTAAATCTTATTTGCTACTGACTTTGTCATGTAGCACCCTAGCCGATAGCTATCAGTTTTTGAGATTTCTATGTTTTTAAAGTATAAAATCTCTAGTAGAGTAAGATCCCGAAGCTGCTAAACATGACTTGTATTCTGAGTAACACAATGGGTAGAATACAGTACCTAGTGTTAGTATGTACTCTAAATGTATGGATAGGTACCAGTTAACTTAGACCTACGGCCAACTTGCGGATACCAGGTGCTGAGGGTACATAAAAATATTACTCACTTTTTCTAAAGTCTGAGTGCTTATTTTTATATAATGTTTCTCACAATATTCTTAAAAATCAAAACTGCTAGACATTTTCCGTCCGCGGTTTTTTCTGCCAAACATTTGAACGATAGCAAAAAAAATAATTTTACTTATAGCGCGATAATTGGATGGTTTTATAACACAACGACGTTTAAATTGTATCTGGGTATGTTTGGCCTTTAGAATTGACCTGACTGCTTACGAAAAGTATTAAAATATTTCCTTAAGAATCATATATATCTAAAAATTAAGACCTTAACTATATGCAAAAAACTAAAATTGCTATTTTACATTTTTGGCACTACCCTTTCTCACCCATTTTGTTCCTCAGAAAATAAGTTACGTGGGTCGGCTTTAGGATCTTGAATTATGGTATTTCTAATAATTACTTACATTCCATTTCACGTTCATAATATTCTATTGAAAAAAAAAATGTATTTAAAAAAATAAAATAAAAAATCTAAGTACCTAGTATAATTTTTATATCGTGGAAAAGTATTCTGAAAATGAAAAAAAAAATAATTGTAGGTATGGACCTTAAGCAATTGGTGTCATTTTCAAATTTAGAAAGAAATTTGATTTAATTTTAAAGCCTTTATCTGTAAAGTCTAATGAGTAATTTTATTTATTTATCAACGTCACTGACTCAAAATGTACATTAAAATCTTATTCATTACTTATTCCTTAGTGGTGCATCAACACTTCGTTTTACCCACCTATTTTGTATCTGGTACTTCAGTTTCAAAAATGATGTGATCCGTTGATTTCCGCACTTTTAGCTTTTAATTAGGAAGGGCTCTCTTAAATTTCTTCGTATGTTTTGAAGAGAATTTTAAGAGTCCTGTCTGTATCATCATCATCATAAAGTCATCAGTCCTAAGACTGGTTGGAAACGTACCTCCACTCTTTCCTATCTTGAGCTAAACTTCGCATTTCCCTAAAACTAGAACAGCCCACATGAATGAAATTAACGAATTATTTCTAAAACTTGTTAACTTCGAATCAAAGTACTTTATAAAATACTTCTTACAATTAGCAGACAAATTAAAATAACTAAAAAGCCAAAAAGCGCAGTAGTTGTCTCTTTTGAGGTTAAATACTTAGTTCCTTCTTTAGTTTCTGTGGTGATAACTATGCACTTTCTAAAAATATTAAACCAAAGGAAACACAATGACACTATTACAAATCGAATTAGTAATAACTGAAGAGAGAAATGGAATAGTTGAACAACAGATCGGAAGTGTTAGTACTTTTGAAAATAAATTTTAACGAAGACTAAAAGGGTGAAGCTAGAAATATTACTAAAGTAGGGATCGAATCAAAGAAGAATGAAACTTGAAAAGTATGATTAGATTAAATGCTAAGAAACAGATTTTTCCCCAATGTATCGAGAAACTCAATATAGAAATGCATTTAAGAAGCAACAAGAATCAGACACGTCATGCTGTTAGTAAGCGAAATTAAAATGTTAAGGGATTAGTGGAAAGTACGAGTAATGAAGTTATTTGTAGAGAGAATAATAGAAAGGTGCAGGTACAAAAGATTTTAAGTAGATCCATTTGAAAGGATATTTACATAATCGCAATAGGAAATATTAACAAAAGAAAGAATTGAATTATAAATTACAACATTAATATTAGGAATAATACCAAAGCTATATACAAAAATGATATTATACACTAATAAATAATATGTGGCAAATGTAGGCAGCCACATTTCCATTCCAACATTAGCAATAATACACTTGTGCCAAGAATTAATAATCTCTAGTAATCTAAAATTACAACAAAAAGATTTATTTTAATTAATTAATGTTTATATAAAATAGATTTTCAACTCGAAAACAAAATATACATGCAATAAGACGGACTTCCGATGGACTTATCTTTGTCACCTTTGTTAAATGAGATTTTCATGGCAAACTTAAAGTATTTAATACTTAGAACTCAATAACAAAAAATGTTCTTTTGTGGAAAAGATATGTAGATATGTACCTATTGTATTGGGACAGGTACAAGAAGACAACCAGACCCTTTTTTAAATTTTCTTAATTTATATTACACAATAATCATATTTACGGTGGAATTAGAAAACAAATTTTCTTTAAACATTTTAGATTTGACAGTCGCAAGGAACGATGGTCATGCCACTTTCGACATTGTCAGAAATCCTACCTTTACAGATATTTTACCGCATGTCCTTTCTAGACAAGATGTTAACATTAAAAATAGCACTGTCTTATTCTTTATTTATAAATTTTTATTTAGTAAGGAAGTATTTGTCATAAAAACACTAGCAGCTAACAACGGTTACAATGCGGCAACTATCGATAAATTAGTTTATAAGAAACTTAAAAAACTTATTATAAATCGGTTTTTTGCAATTCCCAAATCCAAACTAAAGGTAAGATATCATTTAATCAATTATATTTCTAGATTACAGAAGAATATTTGTAATTGTCGCAAAAAGCACAAGTTAAATTGTATTCACGTTAATAAAAATAACCTAATATCTAGTAGTATTTAGTAGTCAATACCTACTTGTTAATAATGAACAAAAAGTAGATATTTTAGATAAATCAGGCGTTTACAAATTATCATAAGATTGTAACTCTTTTTATATTGGGTATGATGGGAGTTCCTTAAAAAACACATAAACGAACATATAAAGCTATAGAAAAAGGAAACAAATGTACAGGGATATCTCAACATTGTATAGGAAACAAGCATTCCTTAAATTTAGATAATATTAAATTATTTTGTTTGATAGCTCCTTTAAATAGTGGTGTTAAGTGAAGAGTGAATCGTTAAATAAATTAGTTAGTTTTGTGAAAGATGTTTGATTACTTATTCATAAAGAAAGCACTTTTTTGGCATGCCCCATTTTGGCCAACCCAATGGTGCCTTCGTAGGATTTTAATTAAGCTTTCCTCATTTTGGTATGTCTCAGTGTTTTCCAATTAGATCCACAATTGAATTTAGAAATACCTAAACAGAATTCAAGTCGGGAAATGGTTTCCGGTAAATTTATCGCGACGTACAATTACTAACAGGGACAATATGCTACATCCATAAAGCAGGCTCGCCTGATTCGCCCACTCGCACCGTACGATTGTCGATTCTCGCCTCTTCTTCTTGTGAAACTACTTGCTTTATATCCATGCATTTCATCAAACCTTTAAATAGGCTCCGTATAATTGTTTCCAAACGTAAAGACATGGATACATATGTACAAAAAAAAAGTCCAAATTCCTCAAACTAATCGTTGAATAAATGAATTTCTTCATAAAAATACGTATGTATATGTGTATACGTACATTGTATATATGCAGCAAACTTGTTTAAATCAATCGCCTTTCTGGAAAATTTACCTCATTTCATTTTTTAGGGAATATAAAACGTGCTATATACGTCATATTCTAATTTATCCTCTCCTCACTTACTATTTTGAAACCTAACTTTACTACATGTATATTTTAGTTTTAAATATAATAGTTATTTACAGTATCAATATAATCGTTATTCAAAAACCTCTTTATATCATGAAGAATTTTAAATAATTCATAACATTAATAGTTTCGTTTACGTAAGTATACAAGCCGTATCGTAGATTCAGTTTGATGTCTAATAGGTAGATACTTGTCCGTAAGACCCCTGTCACACTTTTTGATATACTGCTGTTGACAGCAAACAGCACTAATGGAGATTTCCATTGAGTGTAAATAGAATGAGGTAATGATAAGGTTAATTAATGATAGATTAATGATTGTTCCAGAACTTATATTTCCACCCAAGCTTCTTCATGGATAGATGATTACAAGGATTGGAGCGAGCTAAGTTCGTGCTGTAAATATTTTAAAAGCAATAACTCTTTTTGTCCTCACACGTACAGTAACACTTTATGCAGCAGTTGCTCTATTAACAACCTGAATATTACATGGGATGAATATTTTCCTCGTTATTTATCCTTCTTTCTACAAGATAATCCTGATTCAAATTGTGCTAAAGGTGGACATGCAGCCTATTCAGACGTAAGTATATATAGTCACTGTGGTTTGCTCAAATCAAAGTATGTAATTACGGGAGAGTAAACGGAAAAACAAAAATTAAACGATATTTTCCGGATGATCTTTGCGAAAAAAATCAGCACTGACGAACGCATCATAATATACTGCGACTCGTTTACGACAATGATTTTATATACAGTATAAAGATATCTGTAAAGAAGGAGACGTAATGAATCAACTTACCGGAACATAAAGCAATTACTCTAAATGAGAAGTATAAGACTATAATGCGAGTTCTGTAAAAAAACGAATACAGTGTAGTGAGTGTACAAATGTTTATGTACAGTGTTCCTGAAATAAGTAGCAAGCTTGGAAGAAGTGATAGGGCACTATAAAAGAATGCTTACAATCTCCATCGATGTTACTGCTTAGTTGTTATAGGGTGTACTAATACCTGTGTTGCCAATTCCAGCTCAGGATCGGCTTGCGATTGCGATTTGTTCTTTTTTTTCTTACAAATTATTTTGTCCTTTTATCGCGCTTCTTTACTCACCCTGCGTTTCCCTATTATATCTAGTTAACACAAAGCTTGCCACTTATTTCTCTAGAATAAATAGTCACACAAAATCTGCTGTTTCTTTTTCAGAGTATCGACTATTACTTAGACGAAGAAGGAAAATCTAACATCACAACCTCATCTGTTATGTCATATCATACGGTGCTAAAAGATTCAAAAGATTATTATGAAGCGTTAAGGTACGCCAGAATTATAGCAAAAAATTTAACTGAAACCCTTGGTATTACAGATGTTGATATATTTCCATACAGGTAATATCAAAATACTTTCTAGAATAATCATTTCTGATATGCGTTGTTTTACAGCATATTCTATGTCTACTACGAACAGTATTTGACCATCTGGCATGATATGCTTCAATCAACTGGAATTTCACTAGCGGCTGTATTTGTGGTTACTTTCATCTTTTCTGGTTTGGATTTATTTTTGGCTTCCATAGTTGTCATAAGTTGTTTGATGATTCTAACTAGCCAACTAGCATTCATGTATTATTTGGGTATTACGCTCAACGCTGTGTCCGTTGTTAATCTTGTCATTGTGAGTATACCAATTTATTATCGTAAGAACCTTCCTGGCTCGTGGATCAAAACACACTTTTTAATTTAACGGGGAACGTTACCATTGTTGCGTAATAAAATAATTGGTACTGTCTCTACGACAGCTTTTTATATGGATGTTCTAGAAAGTTTTCATTCAATAATGTAGGTTCTAGAAAATTCTAGCGTTTATAATCTCGGTTATATAGGTCCCTTGACGTTTCTTCACTTATGGTGGGTTTCCTATACGAGACACTGCCCCCCCCCCTTCCGAAGATTAATCAAATCGATAGCGTTGCCTTTTTAGATGCAAGGCGATCAAGGTGCACGATTTTCATTTTGGCCCGAAGTCACTTTCAAATTCGATAAACAACGTTGTTGATGCTTCGAATAACGGTGTAAGGATCATCCCGAGCAACGTTCTTTCCGTTTTGATGGATTTTATAGTCACACTTATCGCCTTCGTTTGGCTAGCCGATCGTAACTGACTTTCATGCGGTTACATTAGAATCGTAGATTCTTACGTACAGCTTTATGGGTGAATCAAGTTCATTTTTGTAGTTGATGCTCGTACTCGTTTAAATAAATTAGTGGCCGGTGTTCTTCTAGTTGTTTCATGGATGACTTAAACGCTAAGAGGAATATGGGTTTGTCGGACCTAGCCAGTTTGACGGTAGTGACCGAAGCTTCTTAAACTGAAGTTGATCTCCAGAATAGCGTTAATACGATCAACCATCTCGCCAGATTATGGATTTATACCCTTATCCTTTACAGGCGTAGCCTTTGTTTCCGTAATGCCCTTTAATTCAGTGACCATTATGAGTAAAGCTGACACAAATTTCCTGCGTTGGCCGGAATGCAATTCCATTGGTACTCTATAGCGACTAATCTAGTATTGACAAGCTATTCGGCAACAGTATGTGCTTTCTAATTTTTGTTTTGTATGCTTTGGACCACTTGCCGAAATAATCCATGACGACCAAAATGTGTCTGTAATAGGAGTCCGTAATTGGAAATTGTCCACATCGCTTCTACTTCATTGCCAATATAATCGCTCGCGTATCTTCGCGACGCTCCAAGGTAAGAGAATTTGACTGGGCTCAAGAAATTTTCGTTGTCCGGCTTAAGTGGCTCATATCGGCCCAAATGATCTTGAGGTTTCGACTTCTGTCAATCTCATTATTGAGTCAATATCTACATCTTTCCTCTGTTCTTTCAATAATCCATTATCTTCCCAGGATCCCACACGTTGAAAGTAATGAACAGTCCTTTTTTCGCCGCAAAGGAACAATGTTTTCAGTTTTCAAAACGTGGTCTCCGGGCATCTACGTTAGCGTATTGTTTGCCTGACCTTGTATGATATCGAACATTCCTCTAGCCGTTATACCTACCGTACAATCTGTCCTTTTGAGCTCTTCAGTTGCAGTAACCACTTCAGCGGAGCATAATCTATTGTTAATGAACAAGAAATGTTTAAGAATTTTAACCACAGCAACAGTGGGCGAGTAACTTTCCGTTTCTGTTTGGACCACCAAAACCGGAGGAATTACCACCATCACCAATCTGTAAAAATCTCAAGATTGGAGCTTCAATGTGCATAATTTTGAATGCTTCAAGTTAATGCTTCTTTTTTATTCGAGTATCTCACTAGAGTGAAACTCCATCTTCTGTGAGTCCATGTAGTGTTGAGGCCGTATCGGTAAATCTTCGTATAAATCGGTAGTATGTGTCAACCTCGTATGCATGCGTTTTATTAGAGTATCACCACTTCTCGCTTCTCCCTAATCGAGAGGGTATATAACTGCCGGGCTCAGTTAGGCTGTTGGTAGGCTTGGGTAGTGGTTCGTTTAATATAATAGAGGTAAATGTAAATAGCTGCATAAATATTCGAACTTCCAGCTTTATTAAAAGAACACCATGGGGTA